GTCAGATCAGATATGATTAGGATAGGGAGGAGCTGAGAGACCACAAGCATGGGCTGAAGGTCGTATCGCTGAGCGGAAGTAAAATCTTCGAGGACTGACGTGTCTGTATGGTTAGGCCTACAGTTAAATCAAATACCAAGTCGCTACAGATCTGGTTATTTATTTAAAAAACAGATTGAATTATGGCTATTTCCGTAAAAGAAAATGCTGGTCTATTTTTCTGATTTCCATGATAATAATCAACATCTTTTTCTATCTTTCCTATTTTTACTAAACAGCCCCTAATACCACATTAACGCTGCTTTTGGTATCCCACTGCAAATTCTTGTTTTATGGCTGTTTAAGAAAAAGTTACATTTTATGATAAGTGTGGAAGATTTATAAATACTATTTAAGGCAATAAATTTGTTTTTAGTTTCTACTTACGGCGTTAAATATCGTAAGCACGTCACCTTCGCCTTCGACCCATTCATCAAGAAACAGTTTTCTTTTCTTTCATGGATTATTTGCTAATGCATGAGATTTTTACGCCAGCATTGTACCATCCAATAGTCGTATTAATGGAAAGTGAAGAGTCATATCTTGATTGACAGAAATGGCTTCTAGGCTGGAGTATTTAAGTTCTCCTTAATTCCAGTACTACGGCAACTAAATAGTTAATGTATGTAGAGGTATTCGTTTGGCGCAAAAATGGTAGGTATCATTTTTAGTTGGTTTATATTCATTTGCTATTAGCCTGCTGAAAAGCCATTTACTCTTTTCAGCGCTTCAGGCTGCATAGGCACCATCCTCTGTCTCAAACGTTCCTCCAAGTGTTGTTGATTTTTTCCCTGTCTAATGCTCTACTTTATGGATATTTTGCTTACTGTTTAGAGCCTTAAGACGAAAGATTATTAGTCATTGACACCTTACCGCTGTCTCTACTTTTAGTAATCATTATTTTAAACCAAAAGAGATGAAATGAATGTCTAAATATGGGCTACTTGAAGCCTATTAAAATAGTGATTCGACTTTAAATGAAAAAATTGCTATTCTGACCCCAGTTAGGGAATTTTTCAATGAAGTCAAAATTGTCAACTTTCCCTTGTAAAAAGTGCTGAGAATGCAGAGGAAGATGTGTACGAAAGCAAAATTGTTGAATGAAAAATGAACTTGCTTATAAATGATAGAAGGGTTTTATATAAAGTAGGACAGCCAAGATGATGGATAAAGCGTTTCTGAGTTTACTGGTGGAGTTGTAAAGGTGATTATAAGTCCTGCCGCAGTATCACTAACACCGTCGGCAATGCACTTGTGTCTCATTTCTTCATCAGACGCTAATTGGATTATGAGGGGCTGCGTAAGGTGGTCACATGCCACCCCACAACCACAGCAAGGAGGTGCAGCAAGCCCACCAATTCGACGGCACTTTCGGCATGTGAGCCGCAGTGAAACTCAAGTGGTATCCGGGCTCAAACGAAATCAAATACCCCTTTGCTCTTTCATCTAGCAGGTGAAGCTCTTCCATGAGAGCTGCTGTCTGGGCGCTGCCATTGTGGTCATCAATCCAACACTCATGTATAGAAACATGCCCATGTTAGATGTGAGGGAGATTTAACTCTCAGAAGCACAACTTTAAGCCCTATTTGATGAAAAATGGCATTATGCTTCGCAGGAAGACAAAATGAACAAGTTAGTAATTCATGTATGTAAGCGATTCCTCCTCTCAAAGTTGGCCACAAAACCGAAAATCCAAACTAATTAAACTGTCTTGTAAATAAGAAGACCGCAATTCTTTCAATGGAATGAGACTCTAAAATTATGAAATAATTCTAAAATACAAATAAGGCGTCAACATGGAAATTGCTGGAAAAGGGATGTAAGTATGGCGATCTGAGTCTTCCTCCCATGCAGTGAACAATTTTAAAAGCGCCAAGATGAACCTTTTCTTAATAATGTTGATCGTTCTAATTTGATCACACCGTAAATAAAAAAAGTAATAAAAGTATACGCTTGTAAGCCGCAAGAAATTAAGATTAAGAATCGCGTAAATACCAAAGGATAAAAGCAGGAAATTTGAAAGTGCAACATTTCACTAACTCTTCGAGACTTAATATTCAGCACCATTAAAACGTAACTGCTAAACAGTAAGGAGAAAAATGAAGTAACAAACCGACTGATGGAAGTAAGATGTTTGGCCCCAAGTACTGCGATGCCCATACACACATCTTGAAGAGCAGTGAATTGTACACGAGAGCAGCAAGAAATGCGAATGGACAATCAGAGCACTTGCAGCAAGATCCCCAACAACAATCATAGCACCATCAGCTTAGTGAGGCTCACAGAAGCAGCAGATTGTATAAATGCAGAAACAGCACCCAACGCCACAATTTATTGGCCCGCAATTCAAAAGTGAGTGGTGCTCAGCATCTGATTGGTTTATGCACCTGCGTGTTGGCGCCTGCTGATGGATAAAGAGTAAGAGGCGGAGAAAAAAGGGTAGCGAGTGTGCAAAACCAATTATACACTTTATACACACACACACACATCAAATGCCCTCTACACGTACTCACATAAGTGAGGGCGCTGATCTCTCTGCATCGATTAGTGCCTTCTGCTGCTTGTCTGAAGAAGGCGGAGGCGGAGACGTCGTCTGTGACAGTCATCAGCGCGTGCGGTGCGCTTATGGGTGCGTGCTCAAACTGCTAAGGCGCATGAACACGTAAAGTAGTGATTTGCACCGTTGAATCACAGTACGGGAAAGACTGAGAGCGTAGTGACGGATGTTGCTCTGTTTGAGGCGTTTACTAATCGTTGGCATACCGATAGTTGTGGCAGAATGTGAACTAAAGAAATCACTCACACTTAAAAGCAGACGTTTTTTCATCTTTGGAGAACGGCTGTAGCATGAGTGATTAAGGTAGCGTCGGTGACGGACTGTAGCATAAAATTGGTTTTTTAATTTTGGTAAGGCTTTTACTCCTTCCCAGCAGTAAAAATCAGCTATAGCTTTTAAGATCGTAAGGATTTATTAAAAATTCTTGTCCACCGAAGGGGAACAGGACACAGCGTTTAAGACTCAAATCCGCTTTTCTGGAAGGCAGGTAGATTTTGCGACCACAGTTAATAATTTCATAATATCAAGCTTTAAATTTGGTTTGCTTTTTACATTGACCAGCCTTTCTAAATTTTTTTAATGCGTTACATAAGATACGTCATTAACCACAATCTGAATCGTCACAGTACAAGTGCGAGTTTCTTTTGTCGCCCCTACCTCCTTGAATAGGTGTTTTGCACTTTTAAACTGAGAATGGCAAAACATTTCGTGAAACAAGCAAAAAGAAAGAGTGCTCATCCCGTATAATTGTCAACTTTTAAGACAATTCTTCGTTGTCTTCCTAACTACTGGACTTTTGGGGTGATGTTACGAAGTTCCATGTGAGATATCGGCGAATTCCCCGCCAAAATGGACATACACGGAACCTTTATGAACTAAAGGGTAAGCGAAGAAGGTTTTAACAAAGGCGTCAGTAGAATACGCAAAAATTACACATGAAGTTTAGAAGGAAGGTCCTTTTGCCGTGTAATAATGCAAAATCCTGGTTTGTGAATGCCCCATGCCAAGATCTGGGGGGCATTTAAACACTTGAATAATGGAACAGGACAAGAATGTCGGAGGAAACTAACTGTACTGTAGGCACACTTATGATGGTCTTTGGATATTCTATTCTTCATTATTAGCGAAATTTTGAAAGCCGAATTATGAACAAAATCTGTTTTGCCTCATAATAAAGTGTCTCTTTTTGGGTTGGCGATCAGTATGGCCAAGTACGAGAGCAAACCATGCCCTGCATCAGAATATCAAGATCTTTTCAATCAAACATCTTCAAGGTTTAAAGAGAGAGAAACAAAAACTAATCGCCTCATACTTTGAATGTCTCGACGTGTATTTGGAAGGTAAAAACTTTAAAAGTTAATTTACAAACGGCCTTGTTAAATTAAAATGCTAGTTTTTATGAAATTTTATAGATTCTAAAAACTGTCCAATATTATTTAAGTAAGGTGAGTCCCCACAATATAACATTCGTAATTCGACATTCGCAAAGTGCAATTTAAATACTTTTTTAAGTTTTGGGATTGTTTTCTAGTTATCAGCACTTAGTAAGCCAACCGAGCTCCATGAAAAAGGGAAATTGGGATGTATTTGGCGGGGATGCGATGGCACAACTAATGTTGCGTAGATTTGTCGCTTACCTTTTACCCAGTTGCAGCTCTTGCCTGCGGAGGATGGCTGCGACCTCTACTCCATTAAAACAGCGCCCCATTGTTGATGAGCTCGCGTTTCCTTTTATTCCAGATGACAAGGCATTGGCGAATTCGCGCGCTGCTGAGCTACTTTGGAGACACCTTGGGGCTATTAAAAGCGCCATTTTACTCCCACGGAAGATCAATGCAGTGATACCCACGGATACGATAGCTACGCCTCCAATTTTATCCTCACCCACCCTAACCGCACATGCGGAAATTTTGAGCTTACGAACATTTTAATCTGTAGTGGGTCACAAAAACTCGATGCTAATTCAACGTTTACCTATTTTTGCGTGCAATGCGCGTTTCTTTCCATGGAATCGCACGATCAAGATGGGTAGTTGATGGTGGAATTGCTGACTACTCCACTTTACAGAAGGTAGTTTCAAATACTAATATAAAAGGCCGTGGTCTTTCTACGAGGCAATATTTACGTTTGAATGTCTTTAGAAACTATGTGAAATTCTAGTTTTACGCTTCAGTGTTACATACGTTATTACTGCGTCTAATTTGTTTCGAGTTATTTACCCGTAGCGCTATTTTATGGGTACATGACTTTAAAGTGTCTTAAACTACCACTATGAATTCGTTGAACACGAAGTGCTAGCACAATCTACGATTTACTTGCTTTGTGGTGATGATTTCTTTCTGGGTGTAGCTCATCCAATCACAGATACTGCATTCGTTGTAGTCACTGCATCAGTCGCTCAGTGGTAGCTCTGTGTTAAACTATTTTTCAAGCACACCTAGTCATCAAAATGATCACACATTGTTTAGCAATGGGGGATAATTATAAGCAAATTGTTTAGTTTACAGGTTTTCGAGTTTATGTGCATTCATTATAAATATTAGAAGCAGGGAAGGACTCGTTTATTTTAGGTATGTTAACAACTTCCCTTTCTTTGTGCTTGGCAACCCAAAGTGTTGTTCGAATGTTTGAATATTATCAATTAATGAATCGACATGGTACAATATTACAATAGTACAATCATCCCTCAGTTAAAAGCATTCTGTCATTGTATTTTGAATGTTATTGTTCGCCGTGCAGTCGAGACACAGAGGTGGCATTTTGGACACAAAATCACTAGCAGTCAGTATTGCGTTGGCTTAATATTCGCAAATTAGTTCAATCACGCAGAAGAGGGGTAACCGAAGGCTTTATCTAAATTTGACTAGTATTTGTCACAAGTCTATACGTATATCTCTCAGAGTCGCCTGCCATTCGAATGTCACTTTCTTGGTGTAGAATCCTGCTTGTGCCCTAGCTGTACCGCTAGTCCTCCAGACCTGCTGCACGTTGATAATGCAGCGACCATCCGGACTCTTCTATCTTAAGATGCCTTTGGGAATAACTTGGGCGCTATGACTCGCCCAACGCCGGCTAACAAGTCGGAATATAAATATTTGAGCAATCCGTTTCAGATACATCATTTATTGGGTTGAACTAGCGAAACCTTGGTACACTTTGTGAACTATGCTGGCATGAAGCGTATTATGTAAACCAGCAAACCAATGGTACTAATAGAATGTTTAACCCTCTAATAGGCACATTTGTGAAGATGATGATGCGTAGCTCCCCTTCTCGATTCACTCGCTGATTTAACGCTTTGACAAATCATAAATAATTTCAGTGTTGGCATTTTTTATTAGCTGTGATTTGCGTGTAACTTTTTATTGAGTGGACTACTTGTCTTCGAAAAATAGAGTCTTGCACGTTCAGGGACTAAGTGGTATTGGGTAGGCTTCAACAAAGGCCCACGAAATGTCCTGGTTGTTAAAATAAATTAACGTAGTACATTGAAGGCATTAGCTTACTCTCTTAGACCAACTTGATATTTCGCATGTAGCGTTTGTTGTCTCTTCTATTTTTAATCATAAACGATGTACCACTTAATTAAGTTGACAAAGACACATCTCATTGAAGCTAGCATTTCAACTTATTTCGTCGTGCAGCATGAAGACATGCGATTGTCAAAGCCGCACTTCTCATGGCATTTCAATCGAGACCAACAGGTGCAGTGGTTGTGGAATGATATTCTAAAAAATCGTGAGCGAGGTTAAGGTTGAGCTTACACCAATTTTGGGGCAAAGGTTAACCTTCACGTTAGGTTATTTGCATTGGAGCAATGGATTAAGTAGTTCTTAATTTTATACATTTTAACATTCGCCCACAAAATCTGAAGGTACGGACTTGAAAACTATATCCAATATCCAAGTGAGTTGTAGCAACCCATGACATTCCCAAAGAAAAGACATAATACTAGGACAGAATATGTATTACTGATGTAGAGAAGGGCTTGGAGACTACTGACATGGCCCGTGGGCCAGGATACCCAGCGGAGGTACAATGGTAGAGCCCTAAGCGCCCTACGAAGAGTTAAACAATCATGAGGTATTACAGTTTTAATAAAAGAATTAATACCAGCTATCCATTGTATATACTGTGTGCAGATTGGTTATTTTTTGTTGTAACTTCCTTCGAGTAAACTCGATCTTATGAAGTTTAAATTTTTGCTCCCATTAATTTGACAGGTACCTCTTTGCACGGCATTCTACACTCCTCTCTACCCACCCAAATACTAGACACAGCAGATTAATGACTAGTTTGAATTATTACACTCCACACATCTTACACCTAATTGTATTATTGCGATACTTGTTGACGGATTATAAGCGGTGCTTGTTTAAGTAGTCACAACTTCTTACCCGCACGGCACATAACACGGCTCTCTGCTAATACATCTTTAATTTAAAAAATTTTGACATTGAAAATTGTGACGTCATTAACATCTCATCAGGTAGCTTCGGTTCCCTCTCACTTTACTGGCTGGCGCCTATAGCCATGGATCCTTAATCCGAACTCCCAGATGTCAGTTGGTGAACCACTTTCCCAAATAAAAATAAATTGGAATTCTCCTACATACCACTCAAAAGCAGAACGTTTTTAGGAATCACATAAGATTATTTATAAAAGCATCCCATTCAAGCTTCGCTCTTTAATTCCGTGAATACGTTTTGTCGCGCAAGCACTTTCTCGGTGTTTACATTCAGCACATAACTGTACCTCGAAAGACAATGTTGCTTTAATTTCATAAGTTTCTGGCTCTCAAGAACAAATTTTGTTTTGCAAATTTCTTGCTTGTGCTGAGGTATGAGCGGTCAGCAATTCCACCGAAGTCACACACACACCGTAATACAATGCTACTTAAATCGCCACACTCATGTTGCAGCGTGTTTCGGCATCGGTGTGGAGCTCGTCAACACGCTGCGACAGGGCGTAACTGCACCGTTGGGGTGCAATTAATAAAGCTCCACCGGCACGACGAGCATTAGCATGCTTGTGCTTTCAAGCACGTCGTTTGGAGCGCGACCTGGAGGTGTCCCATGAATCACCCCGACAAGTTAAAAGGACCTTTACATCACGACTCGGCTCTGCCGAACTGAGCTGAACGTCTACTTCGAGTCTGCTTGCTTAAAATCTCTTTTAAAACAATCAAAATAGATCTAATATGCTAGGAAATCCTTTTAACTGACAACCATTTCTATTTTTTGAGTGAAATTGACAAATTTTGGATTTGCAATGCCATTTGGTTCTAGAAGTATCTGTCCTCTGTTGCTCAGAAGGAACTTTTGCATGTACGAGATTTAAAACTTGCGGCACCCTCTGTTGCCAATGCAAATGACCCGATAGTAATAAATAGTCAAAGCAGCCATAAATATCATGGAGAATAATAATATTTACTGGCGATTTGTTAAACTGCCACAAAGCAATTGAATAAGTCTTTGATATCTGGTACCTTGTGAGGAATATCTCACTAAAATAAATCATAATCGCCTTATTTAGACAAAATGTAGCTTCCTCCTTTTTCTATTTCACCTTACTTTTTTGTTTCATTTAGGGATTGACTGTTAAGTGCTGTAAAATAGGCATCAGGTCAAACTTGCGAATCACATCCTTTGTCAATGATCGGCGTGATTGATGAGCTTCAAAACTGAACTCATCCTCCCAATTCATCGTAGATCTTGAGTGAACTAATTACAGGTTTTATTAACAATGATTGGACAGATATCTCACTCTCATTATTTTCACTTCTTACTGTTAATTAAGAAAAGTGGTGCAGTGGTGTCTTCTCTAAGTCGCTTTAGCTAATCACTTAATTGGAAGGGGAGATTACAATCCCGGTTCAGCCGATAAGCCTTGAGTGGTACTCAGACTACATTGAAGTGAGTAGTGTTCACATACAGAGGCCACCCACGAACGGCTCAGCAATTGCATCACCTCAAGTCACCCGACATAGCAAATGGCAATTGGTGGTACGAATTGGGGCTCGGATTCAGAGCCACCACTCTCGGCTCGTTCGAGCCTCGGGAAGATCTGCAGTGGGAGCGGCCAGGGCTTCATCTACGGTGCTCACATTGTCCGCCACTTGCTTGGCTTCCATTGTCCGGTAGTTGCCCTTCTTCAGAGTGAACTTCCGGCAGCATACGATGAGGAGGGCCAGTATGCAAAAAGCCAACAGGCTTCCCACAACTAAAAAGGGAAAAGAAGGACAAGGTTTTGGGATTAATAAGGATTCTGATGAGCATGTACAAATTCACCAAAGTCCTATTTTAAAATGAATTAAATTTGTACAACTGGGATATTTGTGGGTAAAGAGAACCATTTGTAAATCTCTCTTCCTGTAAACGCTAATATTTTTAGCTTTAGGGTTCTGACAAAAATGAACATGGATAGCTCATCCGTTTATAAGGCAAGTTTTGCCATAAGCAGTAGTTAAAAAAAACTACCTATTGTTAAACAATAATTTACTTTTGTCTCTAAGCTTCTCTCCACTTCTGTGGTCAAATTCAAAGGGAAGTTTTGCACGTTTTATGAAGGAAAAAAAATATTTAACCAATCAGCAGCAAAGTAAACAGTTATGAACCATTTAAAGGTTGTTCTCTATTCTATTAAATAGTTGTTAGTCGCTATCAAGAGCGATGGAAATGGGTTATTCAAAATACTATTCATTGACAGAAGACATGATAAGTCTACTTACTTCCAAAAATCATGCGCTGTCGAGTAAGATCCTCAATCGTGCCAACGAGTGTTAAGTTGGGAGGGAACGGAATGGGCGGGCGAACTTCAACCGGCTCGGGAACTGGCAATATCTCCTCAAAACCACACTTATTTTCCGTCACTGCTCCTACAAATTATGCACGCACTTAGTTATTCTATTCAACCCTGCAGTTATTCAAGTGGCAAATCATGAACTTGCCTGGGGGCTCCACGTACGTATTAGGATTCTTTGGATCCTCAAAGATCATGCGAAGAGGGAAAAGATTATTCCACTGAGCCCCATACATGCAGCCGTCAAAACCACTACTTTGAAGCATTGAATCGTTCCTGCCGAGAAAGAGGAATCTAGGCTTGTCCAGTCTCGTGTCCGCTGTCTCTGATAGAATGGGTCTAAAGTCCTTTACGATTTCCGGATAGTCGTCGACCTATAAACAAGCGGAACTGTTTCCGTATTTTTTACTCATTCTTTTAAAAGTAGCAATTCGTGATGAAACTCGTTACCTGAAGATGCCACACCTGGCCAATGTGCGTCCGCCAGGCCTTAACTGTGTGGTGCTGACCACTAGATAAGTCGACAATGTAGTCGGTGGTCACCTCGAAGCGACCGAAGCCCACATCAAACTCGATGGTAATTCCACCGTTATTGTTCACCCGCACGATGATGTAATTCGTCTCGCCTTCGCCTAACATCTGCATGAGAATCCCTCTCTTAGACTTCGACTTGAAACCCACCGTTATGTACTCCTCCAATGTGCCAAAACTATCACCCATGCTGGACAAGTCAATTTTCACCATTGGACCATTGCTGAAAGTGCCACCAACCTCTAAATTAGAGGAAATATTTGCTTTTAAAGCACATAAATCACCCATTAAGGTATTAATGCACATGATACCCTATTTACTTCTTTATGCTACTGCTTTGCGTCAAAAAAGGTAATAAAAATTGGTTGATTTGTAACTCCTAGCAAAAATGATTTGTGTCTCCTGGAGACCTATGCTAAATGGTGAATTTGTACTTGATAGACTTCGGTTAAAGCTTTCACAACTATGTAATGCTATAATTATTGGTTAGAGGTGTTTCTAATTAAAAAAAAAAATTTAAGCTAAATAAAGACCACGTTTGATGAAAGGAGTAAAACAAGCAGATTGGTTGTAATGCGATTACGTGGAGTTGGTTTATCCACGAGCTAATTCAATTGCTCAAACCGGGTTTCGTTGAATGCACTGATGTTGATGGCATCTTCTTGCACCACGGTCGAAGCTCTGACATCGTTTGGTCAGCAGCATCGACGTGGTATTTGACGTTAAAGCAGCTTCGACAACGACAATAAACAACTCAACTCACTTTGTACTATTGCATGTTAAGGTTCCCAAAAAACCTCATTTTCCTTAAAAGAGTTTTCAAAGGTTTTTTTAAAAACACCCCAAAGTTATCGTGACGATTGTAAGGAGGAAATGGGATTCGAAGCATAAAATAAGACCGGTTTTATTCTAAAAACTCTTTACACCTGTCAATCTTCAAAAAGTAAACCACTTTTATAAATTAAAACCTATCAATTAGTTTAGACCTCCTTGTAAAATTAGTCTGAAATTTTCCTTCATTGTCTGGGAATCAAATCCCAATCAAGAAGTGATTTGAAGCTTTTAAAATCCACTTCTCAAATAACTCATATCTGTGTAACTGATAGCATTTGCGCCCGATATTGAAGGAAAACGTCAACAGTAAAATGTACGATAATGCTAACAATGCTTCACTATTACCATAGGTGAGAGTGTAGCTGGGTAAAAACAAGCTGTTCCCAACATTATCGACGGCTAATGTGTCTTAAAGTCTGGAGATGTAAAATTAAGTTCTGATAACTGACAAGGCCCCAAACAGGGATCTGCTGTGACTCTCATGGTTGCACCACTGACCTCGACCACAGATGAATCCGCGAAAAGGCGTGAGTCCACACTCGCAGTAGTAGTGGGAGTAGAATTCATTGCACACTCCGCGATTGAGGCAAGGCTTCGTGTCACACTTCGGTTGGCAACCAGGTCGCACTCCGTAAGTCGTCTCTCCCCTCTCGACGATCCCACGAATATCCTGAATCACTCCGTTCACCAGGAGGTTCGATATGCACCCGACGTACCCATCAGTGAAGGCCTGAATCATTTCAACTATTTAGTTGCTGATTAGTTGCTACTTAATGCTGATTCAGTAGACACGACACTGTTACCTGTGTGGTCCCAACGAAGAGTGGTTGGTCAAAGTTGAACATGAGGAAAGAGCGCTCATGCGGCTCAACGAGCACTTTGGCGGGATTTGTGTCGACAATGAGTCGTGACTCCTTCCGATTGCGCTCTAATCGGACTACATGCCATTGGTTGTTGTTGAGCCAATAAGCTGTAGTTACTTCGAGAACTTGCAGGCCATTGCCAACGTTGAAGGCAAAGCGGAAAGCAATTCCGCCTATGTGATTAAAAACAAAGGCCATTACATTGCCATAAACTAACGTATAATCATTTTGATTTATATTCTTTCACAAGAAAATCCCATTTTAACATAATCACCTTGTCTATACTTCATCAATAATGATGCTAACTAGAAAAAACAGCAGTTGGTTTGCCTGAATGCTTATCGTACCACCCTAGTAAAATACCATTGTTAATTCCCACTGTTCCTTACTTTTTGGCACATAATCCACTACATTGTTTTTAGGTGAAGGAATAAAGAAAATAGATGAAAAAGAAAGGGAGCTTACTCCTGATCCGCAGCTCAAAAAAGTGACCGGACTTTCTGCCTACATTTTGCATTAGCACGGCGTCCTTAATGGTTGTTTTAAAGAGGAAGCTCATGTCAAACTCATACTCGGCGAAGATAGATGGCAGTTCGAGGTTAGCGTCTAATTTAACGAATGTAACGGTGTTGTCAAAGAAGCGGTCTCCGTTGCAACGCATATCATTGATGCTGTACTCCGCTCGCTTCTGATCCGCCAGAGTGCCAGTGTCACCAAAGCGCACCTCCCAGACGGGCAAATCCTCCTGTAACATCAAGAAATAAACCAGGCGCGTTTGCTTTCAAGACAACGCATGCCTAGACGAGTACTTGTCGCTGTACAATTATCTCGTGTTACAATCCTCCAGACGCAAGAGATGTGATGTAATGAATGTGATGGAATATTGTTCGACATAAATCAGTAAACAGTATTACTGGTTTAATGTCGATTTAACTATTGTGAAGCGGAGGGGGTTGCATGATAAGTACAGGTATATGCCACAGTTTAAGGAATCGACAGCTACTGTAAAAATTTAAATGGTTTTATCATTAACACAAAGCAAAAATGCTGCTATGATGGAGTAGTTGAGCCATTAGGACATTCAGCAGTGACGTGGTATCTGTTTAATTGCATATTCAACCACGCTGAACTTCTCATTCTCCACAGATTGCACTTCCGCTTGGGTGTATGGTCCTCATGGTATGCCTTTATCCTCCAAGTCCATTTGTACGTTAATCGGCACTGCTGATAATCAGTAGGCTTTATAACTGCTTCAGAAAAGGCTCGGAGTACCTCGATTATAAAGTCTATACGTTGATTATTCTATCTAAACATAAAAGAAGATCCTTAAAATGACATAGCTGTAAATTTTGTGCACTTTCACGGATATAATAAGAAATCCCCATAGTCACTACAAAATGAACTTCGTTGGGTCCCAAGACATAAGACGTCAGGAAGAACCAACTTACACGTTCAACTGGGACGAAGTTTAAAGGCGCCGACTAAAGAAAGGGCAATCAGCAGTAAATTTTCCTCTTAATGACTGCTTTGAAAAGACGGATCTTTCTTGGTCCTGATAGGATAAAGGATTTATCAAGAGTCTTTTTTGACATCAAATATGCTCATCTCACAAATTGAGTAATGCGAAAAACAGCGATGAAAAACGCTTCAAGAAATAAAAAAAGATTTTTTAGAAAAAGCTTGAACTCCAAGTGTTGCGAAAATGAAGATGTTCTTGTATGTAAAATTGATAAAAAGGCCACTCCTTCTAACCTTTTCCAACACTGTCTTGCTCAAAAATGGTGTTAGAGGCAAGTAGAGGGGAGTGAGAAGCTAATACATGGAATAGAAGAGTATGGAAGTCATCACAAAAAAATATGACAGCAGCTTTCATGTAAAAAGAACATCTTCTCGCTAAAAGAAATATATGAAAATTATTGATGAGACAATAATTCTAACGACAAAATAATGAAGCGAAAATATTTTCCACCTCTAGAATTACCACTAAATACATAAAAACATGAAAGGAAGATTATGGAATAACTAATTACCAGCCGTACAGGGAGGAGAAGTGGTAGCAAATGAAGAAAGAATGAAAAGTTGTCCAACCACTTTTGGAGCTACTAAGTACCCTCACCAATATAGGAGGAAGGTTTGGCCATCAGCACCCTAAAAGGGCGTAGTAGCAAGAGGGAGGAAGGAGAAAGGAAGAAGGGGAAAAAAGAATCCGATTAAAGTAATAAATATAGGGAACAGTGGTGTTGCGAAGAGGGATGGATGAATTAATACCGAGAAGAAGAACTGATAGGGAACAAAATGTCATGCCATTAAATGGCTTTCTATCAAGAAAATAAAGCTACACCTTTGAGTTCTCACAGAAAAGGAGTAGCAAGAGGAATGTGCGAAGGAATGCACAGGGGAAGACAAAAAGGAGGAGCTAGAGGATTATAAATTCAAGGCTGATTACAATGCTAAACTAATGAAGAAAGGAAAGCTCCAACTTTATGAATGTTATTAGGGGGAAGGAAGGAGGAGATGAAGGGACAACAGGAGAAGGACAGTAACGAAAGAGAATAAATGAGGCAACATCACCTAATAAGTCACTTCAACCCGAAACCTAGGAAGAAAGGAAGCTGAAACTAAGAACTTGCATAATAGTCGAAAGTAAGGAGAGGAGGAAAGGAAGAACGGAAGATAGGACATACTTTGAAGGTGAGAAGCCCAGTGTCGACAAGAGGCGGGGCGTCGGAGCCGTTGCCGTCGCAGTTGCAGGTGAGAGAGTTGCCGGTGCAGGTGCCGTGTACTCCACAGTCACACATCTTCAGCCCTGGTACACCGCCGCCCCAGTAGTACCGCGGACGACCTGTCCTACTCACCCACCAGCCCCATGTCAATTCCGTCCCGTCCCCAAAGCCTGAGCAAAAAAAAATGCACAATCATCCTCCGCTCTCATAGACCACCTCAAACTGTGTGCATTCAGCATCTTGGCCTCTGGCTTATTCGTTATACTAGTTTACATCGTAAATTAGAGCAGTAAATCTAACTTTAAATTGCGCAACTTTTAGGTTAAACTTCATCTCAGTCCCTTAGTTTTATAGAAAACGCTATGTGTTTTCGAAGAGTGCTAGCATAAGTGACCCAAATACTATTTTTCTATTTATTCAAGATTATTTTCATACTTTCTTTCAAAGCTAGGCCTCCTTATGCAGGAAAGCTCCCCGGTCTTCATCAAACAAAGCACAGATCGGACAAACCAGCCTTACCCTGTGGTTTCGCCAGGAGTTTAGCATTCCAGCACCTATATGCAACAGACTGTTCACAGTAGACAGCTCGACGTGTTAGCTCTGATAGAACAGCCCTTGAAGCTCTCCCATAGTTTAGCGTTCTGCTGTACGACCCAGGATTCTGAAATCCATCCACTGATATGAATTCCACATCCGTATGTTCAATGCGTGTTTCCGGACTCCCTCTATCTACAAAACACGCAAGGTACTACTTCTTCCTGAAGTGTAATCAGGAGATCAAGAAAGTGAACTTTACCAGTGAAGTCACATAGCACGGTGATTGGATCTAGGACACCAGAACCATCTAAATCAATTATGACACGCAGCTGCGGCGCCACCTGACCGTAGAACAAGCCAACTTCCGAGCAGGAGGTGAAGTATTCGCTCTGATGGCATACGGCACCCGAGTATCCAGTGTTAGTGCAGTCACAGAAGAATGTCTCACCATTCTGCGTGCAGGGGGCCTCGTGCTTACATGGATTTGGGCTGCAGCGATCGGTGATGAGGCAACTTCCGTTTACAATTTCGTTGGAGCGACTCTCGGGGTCAAGTTTGGACCAGACCACCTCCTGCGCGTTCACACTGATCTGTCGCATACAGCCCTGGAAGCTGAACCGTTGTGGACGGCCGCCGCCAATGTAGAAAATCTTTTCGAAGTGAAGCTGGGGGCACAAGTTTAGACTAGTTCCCATATCTTGCTCCATGCAACTATGTTGCAAAATACTACTAATTAGTAGGATTAGTGTCTATTAATATTCAATAGTTATTACGTACTTACAGTGAAATGAATAAATGGTGTCAAAAACCCATCCAATATTTCTAAATGATACTTTGTTAAAAACGTGATAATTCATGTAAAACATCTTTTCAGTTAGTACGTCTCTTTTAATCGCTATTTTAAATTCTATGCTAAATCAACACTACATTTTTACCTCTACTTTCACTTCCTCACTACGAACCACGTACGACAGGTGATGCATTCAACCCATTTTATTTGGCTTACCGGTTCCAAAAACGTCTGCTGTGTAGTATATTCACGTCCATCAACCACAGTGCGAACCGAGGTCTGGCTCATCTCGAAGTACACCGAGTGCCACAGTCCATCAGCAAATGTTCCGTTGAGCGCTGCCAAATCCTCGTTGGGCATTGTGTAGCGGATCGGATTCACCCCTGGCAGAATTATCTCCACCATTAGATGACCGTATACATCTTCCATCTCGAACTGCAAGGAACATCAATCCAATACAGCACACATGCCAGTTTACTGCATATCTTTATTCATCTGACTATACAAATATGACTATACCTACCGAGATAAAGTTCTTATCATTGTCCACGGTATGATAGAATAGTACTCCACCTTTGTTGAAGGTGCGAAAGCTCATTGAAAAGGTCACCTTGCTGGTTTCCCCACTTCGTTCGACCTTAATAAAAACCAGAGACTGCTCAATTCGAGGAAACGTGATAACTGTGGGGTCTGCAGTTGGTGGTAGGCAGTCCTGCAACAACACACCATTGCCACCAATTGCAAATCCACTAATGTTGAGCTGCTGAGTAGTGGTTGGGGGTCCCCACCAGAGCAAGGGGTCCCTCGGTGGGTAACCGAGAGCGTCCAACCAATCCACCTTCGACCAGATATCCTCTGTCATGATGAGCCCCGGTTTCGAACGCAAGGTGTCACGGATAACCTGCACCCCATTGAAATTGAACTCCTCAATGCAGCCGGCAAAGTTCTCCGTCACGGTGACACTGCGCTTGTTGGAGAAACTAGGCACACCGCCGATATACACCTGCATTACTAAGACATCTATATTTGTTTTATGCTAACCTTTCTGTTCATATCCATATGCATGAAGATGGAAGATAGGTTACGCCAGATCGAAATACCATCCACAGAAATGTTGAGGTTTTTTCCCGTTCTAATGATAGAGACGTCATGCCATTGCTCATCGTCTAGTAGACTCCCTGCTACTACGACGTTTCCCATCCTTTCTGTTGTCCAAGGATAGGTCCCAAGACCCATGGAAACCTGGAGACGACCTCTAAAGAAATAAATTTGATGCAATTATTTACGGCGGATAGACAGTTTTTCCTACCGGAATAGTTCAACTGCAAAGTAGTCATTCTGACTGTCGTCACCGTAGAATATTAGACCATTGACTTTGGGCGTTCGAAAGCGAAATCTTAACAGATCGACTGCAGTTTGCGTTTCCCTTCCTGGTTGATCAAGAAGCATCTCAATCCAGGTTTGTCCATCAAAACGAACGGTAAATGGATCTAATAATAAAGATTTGAGTGGAATATATCGTGAGTGACTTTACGTTCAGTCGACAAGGTAAACTGCCATTTTGACTTTTAACCTCTAAAAAAACCACTGCACCTAAGTTTCATAATCCAACAAAATCTGCTTAATGTTTAGCGACTGCCGGTCCCTACGAATGACTAAAAAATAACGACTAGGGGCATTTGTAACTTAGTTTGGTTTTTACTTCGTTCACTGCAAGAATTGTAAGCATGTAAAATCGGGAAAGAACTAAATGTGTGCCAACAGGATGCAAATCAAACTGGGGAGCTATAAAACATCTAATATGGGGTGTTGCTACTCACGATATTCGCATCCAAAAAGCTCCATACGAAGGGCTATGAGTCCATTCCAGCGCTGGGGATTGAGTCTTACGTATCTAGCCACAATAGGTTGGGAAAAATTCACCAATTTCACTGTATTGTCATCTGTGTTTCCATCAAACAACTATTTTTTTCTAATTAGTTAATAATACTCACCTGTGGTTCCCCAAGGGAATCTTTAACGACTGCCCACTGTACAGGTACATCCATGTCCGAGTAAAAAATATAGTAGTCCTGGACCCATTCCCTTGCACCTTGACGTCCTTGAGTCGCTACCGACGTTACGATTGTCCTTTTGCGAAGATCAATTTGAATCCACTGCTTGTCGTTGTTGTTTCTTGCTACCCATGCACCTGCACCCTCTTAACATAGGTCCGGGTTTGTTTTGAATAACGTGAAACTTACGGGCAGCGGGATCGTAAAAAAAGGCTAAAAACATCAAGTATTACAATATTTACCCTCGGATATATGTAGTCGACCGTAATAAGGCATAGTCTGCAAAGAAAACCAGGAGGACGCAGTAATTTGCTCGTTCAAAATGCCGATATAGCGGTTAGTCATGCCAAGTGGTACGACTGGGTAAAATATACACTCCTCTAAAGCTTTATAATTAAAACAGAGTGCCTCGTACGCAGTTTTACAAAGGCAAAGAGGTGAAATAAAATAGGAAAAGTGGTAAAAATTGGCATGCGTGCAAGGACAACGAGGATATTCAAATGCAGCGGTGACAACATCCTTTCGATCTATTTGTCTGCTTAAACAAGAACCTTATGTCCTAAATACAGAGTAAAATACGGTGAGCACATTTTTGCGACTTTTAGATGATAAAAACATTAGTTTCAAAGGTGACTGTTTTTTGCTAATAATGCATTTATATGTAATTACCAGTAATGCTTGCTGTTTCGTTAAGTCATTTTACCAAGAAACAATTAAAAATTATTTGTTTTGATTTAGTTTGACTTTCTTTGTTTAAACAAACATATGTCCAACACTTTCAAATACTTTGCGTGTTTGGCCACAAAATGTGAAGTCATTGTTTCCGAGATCTATCACTGACTTCTTATTCTAATTCCTTAAGTGACACGAATACACTAGTGTAGTGCCCGAAGATTTTCCTGAAGAACATGTATTTGACATTTTTATGAGCCCAATTTTATCATCAATTTTAGCTATGATTAACGCAAGTCTTTCTTGACGTTCTAACAAACCATATCAGCATGGACGATTTTTTTGTTAAGGCGCAGAGAGGTTGCGAGTCTATGGGCATGGCCGCAGAGCTAAAGTATAGCAGTATTGCAATACAGTGGCGGTTCATCCCTCGGTATTGGTGGGGCGCCACTTTTGAACTTTTGAATTTGCCTTCTTTTGCCTCGCTGGGTGGGCTGGCCTTCGGGCCATGCCATTAGCCCACACATCTCTGAGCTAAAAATATACATTCTACCCGAGTATTGTGTCGTCTTTCGTCTTCAGAGAAGTCTCGGGATGCTACAATATAGACTGAAAAGGCCACGGTTTAACGAAAGTAAACAAAATAATTCAAGCCCACATCTAACTTGCTCCATTTAGGTATTTGTAAAGTTCTCGTTTAATTTGTCTAGCTTTTCCAAACCTTAGAGTTCCGATGGAAATTTTGTCAAACCCTCTGTTGCCAAGTTTGTCGCTTTTATTTTTCAATTTCCTGTCCGATTCGAAGTCACATCTGAACAACTAAGAATTATTGAGTACCCCGATTCCTGAACAAATTTACCACGGTCCGGCAGTTGGATGGAAAGGAGCTCTTAGGAGGCTCACACCTCTTTACTTATTAGGGAATTTAGGTCTCCACGTCAATGCACCTCAGTGTATATTTCAAATATTCTAACCAGTATATTTGTTTGCCGTGTTTTGGACTGATGATGGACTCCTTGTCACTCTTACACGTTCTTATTTTTTTTTCTTTAAAACGTTCTTTTATTTCAAAGGGTTTGTCCAAACAACCGTAGTTGTGCATATTACCGATAGAATAGCAGCCATAAGTCGATTACAAACATTTTCAAATTTAACCAAGATAACCAAGGTCGTCTTAATTTTCGGTACATGTGGCTCAAATTTAGTGGTCTTTGCTTTCTAGCAGAAGCTGTACATGGTGTCCTTGACTGGCATGCGTGTAAATGGCAGTGTTTTTCCCTATCAGGCTTTGAATTAAACTTGAGAATTTCATCCCCTTGTTCATACACACAATAAAATTCTCGAATTCGCTGTATAATTTAACATTTTTCATTGAAACCTAGATAAAAAGTACTTTTAGTTTCGCGAAGACTATAAATGAACAGATCATACCGTTTCAATGTTACGCACCGTTGGCATCTCCAACCTTTCAGCTCTTCCTTTAGAACCACTTTTTATAAAATGTTAGAAAAATATTTTCACAAGCGGTAGATAATTTCGTCGTTGTGCTGCTTCCTAGCCTCATTGAGAAATAAAGACCTTAAAGGTCATTCTTTCTCTAATTCTCTTAAGAATGGCAGGCATGCTTTTAAATGGTTAAGCAAAAGCATAGCTTTATTGCAATATACCAAATAGACCCGTTATCCTCCCTTTCAATCAAGAAGGGATTTAGCAATGTTACTCCATACCTTTTTTTTCGTTATTACTTTCACTCATCCCATCTTTTGTTTCAATGCAACTCACTGTCTCCTCTTGGTTATGAGCAAAAAGGAATAAGCTCATCCAACCACGCTCCTTCCCCCTCCTCGGGAAAGAAAACTAACTCTGGGTGGTGGATGGGTCTGGCTTCTTTGACAAGTGTTTTACTGGAATCAATCAACACAAACGCGCGCACACATGCGTACCCCATTAGTCTCCTCTTAATTGGTTGCCTTAAGTCTGTGCGTTATCGCCAGCCGATCTCTCCCGGTGAGTGAGTAGCAGGAGAAGGAGGAGGAATCACAGAAGACAGAATGTATGTCACCTTGACTGAGGGGGATGCTAATATGTCCTTCCATCGCACTTTGGCTCTGTCAGAGAGGCTAAAGCTTGGTGATGGCAATTTGGAGGTGGCTGTTAGATCGCGGAGTGTTGTGTCGCACAGCCAGCTGGGGTGAGGAGATAGACGCCAGATAAGGCTGAGTGGTACGAAAAGGTAAGGGTGGTGCGGATGAGAGAGGGTGCTTCTTGGACAAGCAAAAAAATTTGGTTAATGGACTAAAGTAACCTTCCCACTTTCTTTCTCATGCCTACACAACTACGTAAATAAATTTTGTGGGAAGGAAATTATTGCGAATAAATGTGCTTACCCAAGATAGACGCTTTGCTTTTAATTGAACGGCTTTTATTCAAGAAAAGCACTTACCATTTGATCATCCGCGGAGGTTGCAATTGACTTTGGGCTTGATTACAATTACTGATTTTAAAATTGCCTTCAAATTATCACACTTAAATTGGTACGTTCCCAATCGTTGAATTACCTATTTGAACAATTTAACTCGAATTCCGCTGATGAAACGGTTTTGGCAAGGAATCGACCTCTCCGTTAACTGCACCTAGGCCGATGTAACTATTTTGGAAAGTGGAAAGCCTCGTAGGCTAAACTGGTATAGAATGTCCGTGAAACCAAGACACTCAGACTGTTTTAGGTATTAAAGAACATGCTTTACGAATTGACTGTGCTTTACGCTAAAGAATATTGCATTAATAATTTAGTTTATTGGGTGGCTGCACTGTCTGTTTGTAACTCTTCAAACTTGCAGACTCTTATAGTGACTTGATGTCATTAGACCGTTTGATGGATTTTCAGCCATTAATAGTAGTCTGCACACAATATTAAATGAAGTACCCGGTATTTGTCAAGCCATTCATTGAGGAGCTTAAGCAATTTCTTAAAGGTGTCTCAAATATATTCCCGAGTTTGGAGGATGTAGATTGACGGAAGGCTCGTAACTTTACAAGTCTGGTAAGTTGTAAGATTTTGTGACTAGCCTTATTAGACGGCACAAAAGGAAATCAAGACCAGCGACTTGAAGGAGGGTAACCGGTGTAGAAGGTGCAAAACGAGAACTAGATGTCTGCAAAAAACACTATACGAAGGAAGCAAACACATGCATCATAAAGTACATTACATTGAAAATATTATAATAAAATTTAAACTATAAGTACCCTATAGCCATTCTTCTTACTTTGAAATCACAGTAGTACTATTTGGACCATATTTTTGCCCCCTCCCCATGCATCCGTCCAGGCGTAAATGCATTAGTAAACTTTCTTACGTTCAAGTGATTTCAGTGCGATCTGTGATGGAACCACTTCAGGCACTGCGTTTATGTAGCCATAGCAACAGGCAGAAGTGGACAAGACAACGTTCAGTGGCTTTATGGCACTTTGACGAGCATTGATCATCTTAAAGGTAAGCTGGGAAATAAAAATCTCCAGTATCCTCAATGGTAGCCACTAATGCATCGCAAGGGGAGAGGGACAAGAAGGACAACTGGTCACTTACGCAATTTTGTATAAGCAAGCTGTGGGTGGCCATTACTGTTCAGATTCAAATTTGAGGCTTCCCAAAGAACAGATTAGCTATGCAACTGTGTCATCTGCTCCATTCTTTTCCAATGGCGTACCCTCTAAATAATTAGTATTTTTTTGTAGTTGCTGTGTTAAAATTGAATCGAATCTTATGGCGGATATTTATCAGCCTGATCCTCCCAAAAAATTAGAAATATACTTGCTTACAAGCCACAATTTTTATAACTATTATTTGACTTAAATCAAATTTAAAAATGTGTGCTCATAATAGGAGAAGATATCCCCCTCCTCAAAACCTTTTAAGCTTCCTTTTTGGTGTCTTGGTTCAAAATGGAAGAATGCTGGAGAATTAGAGTAATAACTGTGCTTCACTGCATCTGCGAAACATCAAATGCCACTTGCTAAGGCCATCAGTGACTTTGCAACTGACCACTTCTTAATCCGCACTGACAGGTTATGTCATATGTGTGGTTAAGTGGCATAATATTGACGAATTTCATAATAGGCTCCAACATTTATTAGTGAAATTCTCATAGCTAAATAATTTGAGAAATGAGGAAAACATTGCAAAGTTTAGGGAGAATAGAACTAATGGACGAATTTAAACAGGTTCAGTAAAATGAAACTGCTGTGTCTCAGGGGTGGCCAGAGCAAAATTCAAAAGAAGTACGTTGTTTAAATTAGCTTATCTTAAACAAACTGGTAAAACGACAAAAATTGCCTACAATGTATGATCTGACTGAGAGTGAGGGCATATTCGCACTAAATTCTCCCTGATTTTGGTTGAGAATCCTTCCTTTAATTTTCAAACCTAGGCTTTTAAAAGAAAATAGTTTCCAGTGGGTACCACTTGTGTAAAGCATAGTTAATTAAAAATGAAAAATTATTATCTATTTACTGGGGCTGAACGTAAAAATGGCAGAACAGATCGAAAAATATATTATTTTTATAAAAAAATTAATCAATTAAAGATCACTTTAAAGAATAGAATTTTATCAGTACGACAAAAATTAGCCTAAAACGGTGCCTATTGCCGATTTGACGGTTCTGTAAATTTAAAGCCTGCGCTTTTTGGGCATGGAGATGGTGGAAAGCGGATACGCGAGAAACATTAAACTTGTGTGTTTACTATTCATCGTAGTAAAAGAAGCTTCGCAACAAACCAGCAATCATTTCGGCATTTTGTTGACGTGCATATCCGGTCAATTCATGCACCTCCCTTATCCGTAAGTCCTCCCTCCTTAATGTAAATTCAGTCATCTTAGAGGGGGTGATTACGTAACAGTGAAAACAGGTACTTCGCAAAAACAACACAGCGTCGTCCCTTCCTTTAGTTCTATCTATCAAACCGGACTGTGGCGTTGCCTATTGTCCGCCTGGATACTAACTTTCTCCCACAGGACTAAGCAGCAATTTTTAAAACTAGCATAAAAGGGCATTCTAGGTTTAAAGCAAGCGGTCACGCATGGTGGAATATTTTGGTTTTACTTTTAATAAGTATTAGCCATTAATAGGCACATCTCATTTCTTGTGCTCCGACACACAGTGTTCCACAATTCTTCCTTAAAATCGTACTACTTTAACATTCCAGGGTTATTTTATCAATGGTTTTTAGCATGACAAAAAACAAGCACATTTTCACCAATTTTCCTTTTTGATGCTTAGGCCTTTTGATGTCGTAATCATTCTTGCCTACATCTTTTATAGCTTATGCTTTACAGTAAATACCTCCAAAGGGCGCTTAAAAAACCGGAAAGCATCTCTTTTTTACACAGCCAACTCTTTAAAAACCATCTGCCTGCAATTTTGACTGTTTTAATAAATGATTAAAGGACTTCGTAACGTAATTCTTACCTTCAAAACCTGAAAGTACTGTGCTAGTTAATTTTCAATTCCAGTTTCCAAAGTCTTCCACAAATCTGTTCTCCTTTCATATAACCACACCTGGCCTGCCCAAAAATGAACTGCTGCCTTTTAAGACAAATATAATGTAAGTGTGTGTTTACCTAGTCTTTTAGGGAAATGAGCGTTAAATGACTGGATGGCCGGTGCTTACATGGCCAAACTAAGCCTGCCTTTCATATTCGGAGGAGAGTAAATACCTTTGCGTTTTCAATAACTCAGCGACGGTGGCCCTTTTCAACTATGAAAATGTCGGATTCCGTAACACAATCCTTTACTTCTCAAACAAAATTTATGAACCTAGTAACACTAATCACATTTTCAGCTATTAAGTTATGATGGTTTTTAATTATTTTGTGTTTATTAAATGCACATATTTAAAGGTTTGAAACTTCAAGGAGGGCATACGTGCGGCAAACTACTTATTTTGACGGTGGATCTGATTCCAACCCTGCTTACCCAACCTCGCAGGTGGAATCGTTTGTATGGAACAGTAAACCACATCCGATTATCGCGGAAATCGCCCTACCGCTACTATCAGCCAATCAAATCACAGACAAGCATCTGATTGGTCAGCCACCCTCAAACCGTCGCAGTGAGACGAGATTTATCACACGCGATAAGACGCGCCAATCAACGCGAGTACGCGCAGCCGCACGCACGCAGCAGGACGAATTTGCGTTCTTGCCCACGTAAAATAATGGTATCACTCGCCACCTCGTAATAGTGCAGTTAACAATCTTTTCCAACAGACCCAGCTCTAAAGCAGCAGCATAGTGGAATCAACTTGACGCACACCCACACGCGCGAGGAACAAAAACTCCCATCTCTGATTTCTATCAGTCGCCGTGTCTGCGTGTGCGCGTATCTACCTCACTCTACCTGCTAGTGAGCGGCACGCTAATTCTCCGCCGATAATACACCTCTTGACTGGGTGAGCTAGTGTTATCGCCACTGGTTCATCTCAACTCGTCCGCGCGAGTGTAAATACGATGCAAGCCCCTCACCTACTTTCTGCCTTCTGCTATTGTAGCTGCTACTATCCTGCGCGAAAGGCCTTATCAGATTTGCGCTCGGCACGGCCAGGAAGGAGAGCGTGAGTGAGTGGATTTACCATTAATTTGTGCCTCGATCTGATCCGCCCTCTGATATCGCCTCCCTGATTGTAAGCCGCCTCGGTGAGTGCTCCCTTCTTTTGTTTTGATTAACTACTGCTGCTAAAAAAGAAACTTGGATAGATACAATGTAAACAAGTTTTTTCGCTTGCTTTATTCTTGATCAATAAGCATATCGTGGAGACTGAAAGTAGACCCTGGTTATGGATTTTGAACGTTTTTTTAGGTAAATTATACTGGAACTCCTTTTAAGCAGCATTCTTTGATTGACGTAATTAGCAATATTTTTAAGAACGGTTAGTCGTAGTGTCCGTGCTGTACAGCGGATGGTAATTATTCGTGACTGTGAATGGAAGATCCAGGGACGTGCATGGACCAAAGATAATGGGGAACTGATGCTAATTTACGTGTAATTTCTGCCATTACGTTAAAAGAACTGCTTTTTGTGCGTATACAATCCGTTTTTTATCATTCAGATCTGAACAGACTTGACAGAAGTAGTTAGTAAAAGTTGACTTCTTAATGTTGAACCACGATTTCACATCTTGCTTTAGCAGTATCTCATATGCGGTAAAGTGAAATTATCTCAGATGTTTTTTGTTTGTAGTTCACATTACACCTTCACATCAGTGAGCTATACGTTTAGTTAGAAGTAGCTCTTTGCATATAAATTGTGGAGACGTAAATCACCCGCGGAAGGTACATCGCTAACCGATTCCGCGGTCCTTAACTCACTGCAGATGTAACGCTAACTTCTGTCCAAGACAGAGTTAAGGTAGCCTGTCCGTGAATGGGAAGTTCGGATCAACATGTCAGTTACTCGCACGCTTCACAAGTTTTGTAGGCCTTGATTTCAAGCCTGTCACTCACATTAGCACTGATAGCATCTCTTCTTTTGACGTAAGCTAATGTCCAGTATCCTTATCCAAGATTTATCACATTTCTTCTGTTAAGTAAAGTAGATAACACTAAGATAATACTTACTGTTAATGAATTATCTTGGAAAAAATTTCGTTTAACTTCACTCATATTCATTGTCAGTTCTGTTTTTTGCATAATCTAGTTTCTGTAGCATTACTTATGAAGCATGATGTATCTAACTCAAATCAATTCTAAGCCATATCCCAATGGGCTTTTGTGCCAAATTCTTTAAAAGCATTTATTTTTTCGGTTTGACTTAATTGCTAAAATTTGGGTATTTTCAACTTTTAAAACATAAATTAGACTTGATACAAAAAGACTGGATTCCTTTTTGATGACATCTATTCCAATTCGAGCGATTTCCTTTTATTGGTACGTTGCTTACACTAAAGTGGGATCATCAAAGTAAGTGTTGGAAAATAAGTGCTTTCTGCGTCGCATCTTGAATTTATCGACTTAACAGTGACCTGAACCGGAAAATGCCCACTGGCAAAATAAGGGGAGAACCACGTGGAAAGTGTTCACAGTTCCTCCTTCGGAGGTCTATAATTATCTTCCTTTAAGCGAATTCGTGACCACTGAACATGTTGTAATTTACATAATGGGCGTCGTTTCTATCCGGCTTTCCTTAACTTTTAAAGTCGTTCTTCCTGGACAAAGTATGTCTAATTTTCCTGCGATAAAGACGAGGCTTCATATTTCACCGTTCTTCTTTACGGTCTGCGGCTGTCATTTTAGCGATAAGGCTAGCTCTTTAAATCATGACATTTTATTGTTCTCGTCCGTATTTAAACGCCTAATATGTTTTAAGCACGCATTTTATTAAATTCATTTCAGATATTTAAGAAAGTATGATTAGGCTTTCATTCATTATTGGAATGACATGAAACGTTAAAGAGCCTTTAAACCATTACATATTTGTAAATCAGACACAACCAAAGACTACTTGTCTGCTGACAGCGGCAAAAATCCTTGGCTACCAATTTTCGGACGGTTTCTTTGGTAAAAAAATGCACATATTAATTACCCCGTACAGGAAACCCTATCTGATTTTTGAGGAAAGACAGTGTGCTACCCCCCTTTAACCGCAAACGGCGCCCTCGTTTGTAGTGCCTGCCATTGTACACTCGTCTCCCCCCTCCGTTCCCCTTATCATTCCTCGTCCGTCACAGTGGCAGTGCCTGCTCAATACAAAAGTGCCATCAACACCACCATTATTTTGCCCACCACATGGAAAATCGAATTTAAATAGTAGAGAGGAGGGGTGGGATAGAAAAAAAGCCCCCCTCCCAAAGATGTGTATGTGGTAAGGAGTTGTTTGCGCCTATATGGAATCCCTTTTCCCATCCCCATCTCCCCTCTCCTACTATACCACGATTTTGAAGTCTGATAAACGCTCAGCCACGTGTGCACAATGTAGAATGGTCGTCTAAGGGTGCCTATTAGTGTGGATGCGTGAGTTGGGGTGGCAGTGGCGGCCGCAGTGGTGAGTTGCGTGGTAGGCGGAGAAGAGGGTAGAAAAGAGGGGTGAGGTGAGGCGAATGCTCGAACAACTCATATGCGCAAACTCATAATGGGAAAGCAAACTCATCGATGCTATCGGTCTAGGGATGAGCTTTTAAAATCAACCTTTTATCTGCACACAAAAATCAGACTGCTTCACTAAAGATGACAACGCGGAAAATCAAAATGCTGAAATGATTGGTGCTCTTTGCTGACCACGGAAAGCGCACCCATCGGCTTTAGAAATCAGGTCTTCTACCACTTCAAACCCTTCAAAAAAGGGCATATACTAGACATACTTACATTTGACAACTTCACTTAACAAGATGATTGGAAAATACAAAATGAATGAGGTTATAGAGGGTTTAAATCAACATTTTGAAATGTAGTGTAGACTGAGATCTGAATTTTTGTCCAATTCAGGGCAAGTTGATCCGCTGATGAGTTAAAAGCGAGAGGAATTACGATAAGGGAAGAATTATGCAGTTCGTTCACTCTCTCATTCTGCGTTGTGCGCAGCGCTGCCACTGCTACTCTTACCATAATCTCTACCACAAAATCTCTCCCTCCTGTCCAAGAGCTTCGTGCACGTGTGCGCCCGTGCGTGTGTGTGTGCGTGCCCGCGTCGCGAGCGTATCAGGTGCGTGCGCATTCACGAGATGCGCCCATCTCCACCGACGTTAACGATTGGGATACCTGAACTGGTTGAATAATGAGGTCTTCACAGCCGAACTATTGATAGCCCTGATGACTACCTTTTGTTTTTATTGTAGTTGCCATCATTGACAGCAGAGGGCTTCTAATTACACTACTAAAGTAGCGAATATGGGCTCAGATACTTGGAATTATTTAGCACCTACCAAAAGTGACTTGTGAATGTACCGAATTACCAAATTAGCTCAAATTATTACAAGAGTTGTAAAGTGGCTATAAGTTGATAGCGGATTCTTCATATTCAAACTAGGTTTATGGATTCGTTTGCATTTTTTCATCCTCTGGTGATGTTGAGTCGGGTTTTTCATGTGGCCAATGTAAAACCAAAGCTTTAGAGAAAAGTTTTAATCTGACACAACTAGATGCAAATAAGATTTCTTTTATCTTGGACTTCATATTGCGATCACAAATGGTCCTTCGTTTGACCGTAATTTTTTCAAATCAGACGCAAGCCAACATAAAGCAGTATTTCACATCCAAGACTTAAGGTTTTTCAACTTCAAGTCATATTTTTGATTGTGGCAATCATGGAAATAGGTTTTTATGTCCCAAGAAATGTGGGATTGAGCTCGAAACCATGGTAAACAAATTGCAATCAAGCTCAGAATGTAATGCGTTGGTTACAGAAGCACCAGTAGAAAGAGTAGACACTACGGTCAGTTGATAAAGACACGAGGGGTTTTAATTAGCGTATATCTACTACGAGTTAAGCAGGTATGCAGGCAGGCAGTGCGAGAGAGCGAGGCAGTGCATGCGTGAGATGGTATCAGTTCTCTAATGTCAGTGCGGCGAAAGCGAGAAGGGGAGGAGTAGGAGATCACCCTGCTTCGACTTACCCTTCCCCTATATCCCCTTTCCCTTCACCCCCTAGCCCCCTTCCTGTTTCCATGCGAGCAAGAGTACTCCATATTATTGGACTTCCGTACCGGTGTGTACGTGCGTGTGCGTGCGCATGTCTATCACACCGCAGATCATATCTTTCCCCTCCCACTCTAATCCATTCAACCCACTTTTCTTTCCATCCTACTCTACCTTACCAGACCTCGCCCCGAAATCAACTCATTATCGTGTTATCTATTAAGGTAGTGCTAACATTCAGCCCTATCCAAGCTCGATGTATTCCTCTCACCATGATTAACTCACAGGGAAATGGTAACAGTGTCAGTAGCCTACTAAACACTGGGAATAGAAAATAGATGAGAAAAAGAAATGTACAATTGGTGGCGCACTCATAAGGACTCATAATCTTGCGCAACCATTGACTGGTTTTTGGGAATGCACGTGGATGCGCATGACATTAACTAGGAGCAGAAAAAAAAACAGCAATGCTGTCATTCCCGCCATTCCGTTTGTTTGGAGGAGAGTGGAATCTGGAATGGAGCGGATGCTGGTATGGCACAAGACTCCATCTCCTCCCCTTTTGAAGTGATTGACAAACTCTTAGAATATTGGTGGTGGATGTGTACGCCTGTGTATCACCTTCACATCGAACCCGCATGAGGACTGACTATCGAAGTTCCGGGTGTCCAATCACAAAACGGAAATGCGGGTGTCAATTGATACCTGCTTCCTGGAAAGTTTTAATTTCCACTTAAGAGCGAGGTGCCAGTATGCACTGGTTAAATCTCCCATCCAACATGGTACATTAATCATGCGATGGAATTAGCTGCACATTCCGTTGTCAATCAAGTTTGGAAATACCATCGAAAATGTCTTGCAGATTTGGCCGACCAGTTTTTACGATTGAAGAACACGAAATTTAAGACAGGATACCATGTAAAGGCGAGATTTCAGACCATTCACTGTCAATTCAATGAATTAAATATGTTATGATTATTACTGCCTCAAAATCTGTGGTGAATAGCATGAGAAAACTGAATTCATTTAAGGATTACCATATCAATAACAATAATGATAACGTAAGGACTGTGGTTACAGATGCAAGTGCCATCATGCGTACGTTAAGGCTACGCTACCTTACCACTAGCACGTAATCCTGGCAATTTGGGGCAATAACTGTACGATATGCTGTAATATGTGCTAACTGCCACAATAATAACTCTCCTTAAATTCCACTTGCATATCAACTTCAAAAAGCCCTTTCAAGACTAATCAGACTAAATTGATTTCATCATAAGAGTAATTAGTGGATTGCCTCTTCCTCTGCTTTCATTTCAAAGTTCTTATATGTCGGTTTGCGTCCGTTTGAAGCATGGGGATGGTAGGTATTAGTGGATAAAATAGCGTTTCGTATCTCTTCAGATCTTCAACTGCAACAGCAATCGCACAAGTGGTGCACATTGAAGAGAACTAGAAGAGCGGTGATGATGGTGGTGGTAATGATGGCGAAGGGTTTCTTTCCGAGCAGCCACTGGAGCCCGTCAGTGGCATCCGACATGCTCTCGCTTGACTGACGATAACGATCAAGAAAGGCGGGGTCATCGAACCCCTCCCTTCCTCCCTCCTCCTCCTCCGCTTTGCCCATACAGCCATAAAGCGGTTAACACAACATCTTCGAGGTCAACAGACCCTCTGCCTACCTCCTCCCTGCAAGCCGCGTAAGCGGGCCGGTAGTAGGTCGAAAAACGACCAAAAGTTACAAAATATCGGCCATAAAATGAGGGGATAAAAAGTGTGAAGCTGATGGGGAAGCGGGAAGAGGAAAGGGAAGGAGGAAGTCAATATAATTCTAACTTTCATGGCAATTTGTGGTTCTGGGAGTATTTTTGACGTTCTATATTGCCACTGCTTATTTCAATGCTGTGACGATTCAACCAAAATTAATGATTCACGTACATGCCTTTAACACCAGTCGGTGTTGACTAAATGCGTGAAAGTCACGCTCTGACTATCACCCCTTGTTATTCAAAAAGTACAACACACCGGCAGGTTACACCTGCAGGAAGGTAAAGGAGCATTTCGTGAGCTTGTTTTTTCGCGACTGCTTTAGACACCACACATGGCTCACGCAGCCGACACGGTCCCCCTCCTGCAAAGCCACCCCGTCGATCCGCGGTGGTCACAAGAGGCGCTCTACCCAGGTCACGCAGCCTTTCAATGCATGAGCTACCATCAGCCTTCACTTTCCCGTCCAGAATCATTCCTGTCTCAGGCAGTTCCTTCAGGCAGCAATTTCAATAGCTACCGCCAGGAAAACGCCTATCCTCAATCCCGACAGACTTATATGAATGGATACGCAGACGTGTTTAACACCAATAACCAACAGCTCCACCAACAATCACAATCACAACAGCAGCGGCAACAACGTGAATCTTCCAGTACATTGACTCCACCCTCTACCAGTTCTTCACCGGTAAATGAAGCAAAAGCGTCAAACGGCCATCAACAGCCTCCGCACCCCACCGATGAGGTAGTTCTTACTTCCGAGGCGAATAACAAACACTTAGAAGCCATGCTATGGATGCGTAACAACTGGAAACCACACCACCAGCCTCCAGAAAACCTCCTCCAGTACACCAGAGAAGCACTGTTTGGACTGTGTGATAGTCAGGATGCAAGATACTGGCAGCATCAACAACCGAATGCCTGGGAAGTGAAAGCGCCCACTCCATCATCCTCGATTGGTGAGCAGGAGGCTGTGAAACGGAGTTCTTATGAGTACCAACAGAGCGTCTACCAGCAGGGCTACTACGAGGGTGGATGTGTGACCACCTACAAGGCAGAGTCGGCTGGTAGTTCGGAGCCCACTTCGGTGGCAGCCGCCTACCACTCTGCTGCTATGGCCGCTGCGGCGGTGGTGGCACAAGCTGCAGCTTCGGGAAAATCACCATCGCACCAGCAGCAGCAACAGCATCCCTCCACCTTCCTGACTCCTACATCAGCCAATCCTCTTCGTGTTGCGGTCAGTGGACTGTCAGCTAGTGGTCGGATTTCAAAAGGCAAAAAGCTATCTATAACCGGTAAACAAAAATCAGTTTTGTGATTTAAAACATCCGAATCTTAAAGGATTTTGTATGGGCAACTTTGTGTTGTAGAGGGTCGGGAATGTGTGAATTGCGGAGCTACAACAACCCCTCTTTGGAGGAGAGATGGTCAGGGAAATTACTTGTGCAATGCTTGTGGCCTGTACCAAAAAATGAATGGACAAAATCGCCCTCTGATTAAGCCGAAACGAAGATTGGTAAGTTTTAATTATCTCCAAGCTTTCGTGTCACCACTTTATGCCTACGGGATGAAAAATTAACACAAATCTAGTGTGAGATAAGCAGAGATGTCTGGAGAGGAACATCAGAATGCATTACAGCACGAAGTTAATGCGGATATTAATCTCTGTGGTGTACTGGAAAGTGTGCAGGCTGAGTACGGAGCAGATATTTCCTGATGGTGGTATTGTGATAAAGAAACGGAAGTGGTAGTAGGCACACGCCTCATTGTCAAGACCAGACCACAGGAAACACACTAGGCTGGGGTGGCTCTACCTTAAGAAGACAGAAGGACAGGGAATAATAAGGTCACCTCCGGAAACCATATACAGGAATACAGGGAGGGGCGGTAGTGGTGGTGCCATATCATTCTCACCAATCAACAAGGATGGATAGTGGATTTTATCGCAGACTCATGCAATCATCATCGAGAGGAAAGTTTCAACAAACTGGGCTTAGTGTGTAAACGAGAGCAACCATAGAGGGATGAGTTTAGACTCATAATCGACCAAAAGTTGATGAACATCTGTGGCAAGGGGACCTCGGCTATGAGCCCGCATACAAAGTTTGACATAACGATTTGACATGCTGATAAGAGACTGTGGATAAAGTGATGCGTTTGTTTGTTTGTTTGCTTAATTTGTCCTTATTTAGGCGTGTGCTCCCTCTCCCTTTCTGTCGGGTGTTTAAACAGCCGGTTGATGACTTGTAAGGTTTCCATAATCATAACGACGCCTTTTACTAGCCGGTATGAGCAGAGATCGTAAAGTGAATAGCACAATCAGAATCCATTAAAATAAGTTTAATAATTAGGTGAACATGCACTTATTGAACTTGATTAACTAAGTAAATTTTTTACTAATTATTAAGCATTTAGTGCTTTGTCTAAACAGGCCATAACGCCATTTAGTTTACTCGGATATCTGGATATGCCGAAGATTCCCGCATTTGTTTTGAAACCGGGAAAAACCCACCACTTGCTTTTGTTTAAACACATACCACAATTCAAAGACGTGCTTTACAACATTGTAATAAAACTAAGCATGTAAAGGAAGGCCTGCAACTGAGACTGATCCCTCTTGGCAATTTGACTGCAACTGGAGTTTCGTCCTGTATGGGAACTAGATTCGGAGACGGAACATGCGTAGCCATTGCCAGTTCTGAGGGCACTGGTCTGAAAGGAGAGTCGTTTGATAAAGGACGGGATGTGCTATAGTTTCGGCGGAATAGGGTTTCACATCTGTTCCCTTTTGCCGCGTTTTTTACCTCGGTATTCTCCAGCCATATCTATCTGAATTTTATCCAGCTAGTGGATAGGTGGAGGAGGTACCACGTGCTTACGTTACTGACAACTTTGCACAGGTACTGTAAACAGCACCATAGCAAACTTTTCCAGATGGTTCACGGCCGGTGTCGCTTCAGTTGTTGATTGGGTTCCGGCAGAACAAGGGACTAACAGTAATAGCCAAAGTGGGACGTCATTTCCAACCCTTCTGCTATGGGTTATCACAGATTCCTCCATCCGTAGCATAAATCCTTCATTCGACACGTTAAGATTTAACATTCAATCATGGAAATCGGGGTAGTTGTCCCTTAAGATTAGGGTCGCTATCCTCTGCCACAAATGTGGGGACCCGGGACTTCCCTGAAGACGAGAGAAATATGTAATACTTCTGTAGATTATATATTCGGCATAAAGGAGGGAATAAGACTACTGGCAAGGCTCAAATGCCAACCCACCCGGTGAGGGCACAATCGCAAAGCATCTGACTGACCCCTTTATTGGAACCAAGAGCTAAACAACCAAAGCATTACATTACTTCCCTTGTTTTCATAAAGCTTAAGAATGCTCTTACAATATCAGCCATGTGACAAGCAATACTGTCTATGATATGAAGGATTGTAGAATAATCTTTGCATCATATTCTGTGTGGGCCATACAATAGCTCCACTTTACTTAAGTGATTTAATTTTTCAAAGCGGTCAAAAAATTATTCGTCATTAAATTATTCCGACCAAAATAAATAGTTTCATTATTATTTTTAAATGGAAATTAAACCGGTACTTGGAGGATGCGCTAGATAAGCCTTCGTTTCTTAAATGGGAAGTAAAGCAGGCAAATTTGGTCCTAATGAATGGGAAGTTTAAGTCCTTGTGACCAATGGATCCTCATTTCCTGATTAGTTAATCAAATTTGAATTCCCGGGTTTTTACAATAAAATCGCTTATAAGATCGAAGATTGCATGCGCCCAGCAATCAGTCAGACACCGCAAGAGAGGTAGTGTTGAAGGTGGTGTTGACGGTAGCATTTGATGGTGAATATTTGGAATGCGTGCAAAGCACAACACCTGGGGCATAAAATAATTGGCTATTTAATGACCATCCACCCTCACCTTTTGGCCCTCTCGCCTCCACTCTCACGCTGCCCAGAGAGGCAGGTACGATGTAGACGAGCTCTTTTGTCTGCGGTTTGCGTGATGCCCCACTCACGGCGCCGGCTACCCTTGCTGCACGCAACTTAGGGGCAAGGGGAGGGAAAGAGTGGGCTGCGCACGGGCAGTATGCCCTCTCCCTCGCCCTCTCTATTCTCTGCACCACCCCTTGTGTGGGTGTGTGTGAGACTGTGTGTGCCATCATTTATGCCATTTCGAGCTTTACCGGTGGGGTGGGGGAGAGGATTGGAATGGGAAAGTGATGGCAGCAGAGATACTACCTTTGAGCCAACTACTAATGACACAATTCATTTATATACAGCGAGAAATATAAGTGGTTTTTCGCTCGGTGAGAGAAAACGCTATGTCCACGCGATTTGGGGAGGAGGTGGTGACTGCTCCTACTGCCACCACTCTTGGTGGTGGCCGAACAAAAGCCCTAGAGTTTGATGGACACTTTCAGTTGATGTATCGTTTATGTGCGTATGGGACGAGAGGAAGTGAATGCTTGAACTAAAATTGCTCGAATAGGGAAGGACAGGTATTGTTTCAATTAAAAAGTATTTGAAGCCCTGGTGTAGCAGAAATGATTTCAGGCTTAATAAATCGTCAGTGTTGTTTCAACAATCCCCGTTTTATTTAATATCAAAGTCTTTTAAACTAAAGTCTTCTAGACTACCCTTGGGGCAGCCGAAGCTAAAGCCAAAAGCTAATCTCTAAAGAAGTGGCCTGATTTGGCTAAGAGTTAGCCAAGGCAGAAGGAGTATGCAGAATCAAGTAATACCTCTCATGCAAAATGCCCTTGTTCTCTCCCTCCTCCATTGTGCCAAGAGTCCTACATAAATGTCCCTTGAGTCAGGCATGATTGTATAAATCTATTAGGCACTTTGACTCAAGCATATTTCCAAGCCTCTACCGAAAGTGAGTGAATGCGTACTCACAACCAACCCTTTGATCCGTTGGCATTTTGATTTTTTGATGGTCCTAAAAGATAACATTTTGATTAGGATAATTTCTTTAAAGTGTTTGCATTGTAATCCAATCGTATGGCAATAGTCATCCCATGCCAGGGGTCTCGGACACGTTGCATACATTACGAATTAATACGGTGAATATGTGGACGATTTCTTAGGCCGCTTAAAGTGTTCCAAGTAAAAATGATTTCCTTCGTTCACTTCTATAATGCAGGTACCCGTGCCAACTGGAATTTTGTGCACTTAATTCTTAATCAAATTTCAATGGAAAGATTAAACGCAGACTGGATAAACCATTATTATTCTCAGATATCCTATGGTCGGGTTCTTTTAAGTTTTGTTTGTTAATATGAGAAGATGATTTAAGGATAATCAAGAAGTTGCTGGGGTAACTGATGAACTAATTGGAGAGTGATTGTGACATCACTGTGACGACTACCAACGCGAAATATGCCCACTGATTTGGTGGGGTGATTTAAAGCCCACCTGGAGGATTGAGTGCATTGGTGTGGAAATGTATAATGGCAGATTATGTCCAGACAGCATGAAATGTGAAAGACAAACATATTGGTGCCGTCAGATTTAATATGCATGGTTAAGTATGAGCTCAACAAAGTAGCCACTTGGAACTTCTTATTAAGAGCGACGTGGATGAGGCCTGTGTATCTTAAACACCGTCTAAAACGCAAGTAGATGTAGCATATCTTTATAGTCTGTATGCCATAATTTCACTATTAAGCTTACCTTCATTAGGAGGATGAGTTAAATTTTGGATGTCCTCCTAAACAAACGAATTCAAATGGCATGGAGGTGTCTCTTTCCCGCCTTACTGTAGATACTTTCTAATTTTCTTAGTTTAGTTGATTAAAGCGCATGTTTTACGTGTCCTTCTTTCTCATGGTTTTTAGCAATCCTCCAGTCGACGAACAGGCACGATTTGCTCCAACTGCCACACTGCGACGACCACTCTGTGGCGACGCAACAACAATGGCGAACCCGTTTGTAATGCCTGTGGACTCTACTTCAAACTACACAGCGTAAGTTGCTGTTTATGCTTGTAGATTGTTCTGGAGAGCTTTTCAAGATCCCACTTACAATGGGGTCTACCCATGGGCAGTGGTAATTCGAAAACTAGAACGGAGTTTCAAAATCGCACACGAGCGCCACACTCAATTGACTAATTTTGCTACAGACCATTATCAACCCTGTCACTGCTGTTGAGTCAGCACCTGCTCAAATCATCCTCATTTAATTCAAAAGATAAATAAATACCTTACGGTTACAAGGCGACGACGTAAACAGAGGCTTTCTTGGTAATGAGACCTGAGTAATAGACCCATTGTAGCAGCAAAGGTTGTTCTTTAGGGGAACAAGAGAATAGACTAGTTTGATGAAACATTTAGAGTCGACTCGTCTGCGTATCTGGGAGATAGCCGCCGAACTGGCCCCTAGCTTACGCAGCTCTCCACGCATTCCCCGACCACCTGTGCATGAATTTCACTCTCACACGTCCACGCACAGATTGGGCACTAGTCATGGGGTGGACATTTGTGTGCGTGCGTAAGTGAACGTCGTATGGCGCCAATTGTCCCGGCGCCACAGCCACACGACGTCGGCGGAGTACGGAGATCGAGCTCACCTACTCACACGGACACGGTGTCGTGGGCTTTTTTAAGCCTAAGTAGGATGGGCAAAGGGGGGAGAGGCATAGGCGAATATTAGTTCAGAAGGTACCGGGCCGGCCGCAGCAACGCATTAGCCCTTTCACCAAGCCAGGGGTGTCCGTAAATAACAGTTTTCGACCGTCGTCGTCCATATGGCGTGGCTGCGTGTACTAGCTTCCGAGTTTAATTAATTTGTGTTGTTCTTCACCACAGGTACAAAGACCCATCTCGATGAAGAAGGATGGCATTCAAACGCGCAATCGAAAGGTCTCCCAAAAGTCCAAGAAGTGCAGGTCCAGTGGGGGCTTCTCAGAGCTGGAGGAACTGAGTTTGGATTACTTGATTAAACCTACTTTGAGCCACCTTACAGCAGCCAGTCATTTAGCTGCAGCAGCTGGGTATCATCCTCACAAAATGGCTGATTACATGTCCTCCTATCTGGACGGAGTTTCCTCAGCCTATACCCTCTCTTCCGCTTCCTCCACCGGCTACCCTCCTGTTAACAATGCTGCGGCAGTTGCATCTGCAGCCATGGTAGCTATGAGTGGGGGTCAGTCCTCACCTTATGGTATGTCACAACCCACAGGATTTCCACTACCTTATCCGAATCACTCGCATCCCCATCAGCTGCAACATCAGACGTCATACAGAGGTCTTGGTGAACCAGTTACTACGACAGCCGCATACTTTGGAGACTCAAGCTTTCATCAAGCCAGCGGAGTCAGTGGTGCCTACTCCATTTTCGATGGACATCAGTTCTCCAAGACACCGTTTCCACGACCCTTCTTTCAGGGTCAACCAGATAATCCAACAGGCGGAGAAGAACCAACTGCAGAGGCGCCCCAGTTCCAGTCACGGTTCATGGCTGAAAGGACGGGGTATGAGGAAGGAGCGCGGATTTATCCCAACACCACTCCTACATCCGTCTACTCACAAGAATCGCAGGTTGCTGCTGCAGATTCCGCCACTCCCTCCGCGAACATTACTAGCTACATTTCAGCCACACGACCAGGGAAACAGGAGGCGGATGTGACACCGTCGAGTGAAAATGCAACGGCCCCACCAATGTACTAACTCCACCTTGACTTTTCACTAAAAAATCTTATTTCTTATCTATTTTACCCACTTCTCACCCTCTGCCTCACACTACTTTTTCTCCTACACAGTTTCTGGGCATGTGTACAGTTCAAAAGTACTGCTGTTAATATATATAACTAGAAAAGAGAATTGAAGCTGACGATAGGGTCTTCATTTATGGCTACCGAGTTACTTCTATTTTAAAAATGGGTCGTCACATAAAATGATGCCATGCATTAACTACATAGTCATTTTTCACAGACGCTTTACCGCCAGTGTCGCGAATATGTGACGCGCTTATTATTAGCATACGGTAGCCGATACGAGATAAATGTACTTACTAGTTCTTAGGAAGTGTAACTTTGAAAAGATCATACCTTCCGTAATTTACCGCATTTTATTGTTTCTTTTGGAACTGGAATCAGAAATGTTTAAGGATAATCCCAACACTATTTTGTGTAAATTTATGGAATGACACTAGCTGCTAACAAATCTCAAGTATCTCAAGTTGCGCCATAAGCCTACCTAACAAATGATCGTATCTTCACGGGCAAACTCTAGGAGGCCGAAAAGGAGTGTTTCTTCTGCTCAATATCTACATTAGGCAATTCTTTTTCAGAGGCCACTCTGATGCATTTAGGAGGGACTGCGACAAACCACCATATGAGGGGGGGCATCCTCAAATTGCAGAAACTGCAATAGAAGCAATAGACTTCATTTCTGTGATTGTCTTAAATATTCTACAAATTGTTACGTTAAAGATTACTTTTTTAGTTCATTTCAGTATGTTGATTGTTAAAATTCAAGGGATTTGTTTCGCTTGTGAATTGACCTATTTTAATCGACAAATATGATGGGAAAACGCGATAAATTGTTAAATTAGTAGTTTATGATGATTCTTATTAAGTAGGTAGCAGAATGGTAGTTGAGTGTGGATACACTGGTTTGCGGTCAATGCTGGAACGAAGGATGCAGCCACAAGATCAGCGGTAACCTTAACTCCAAATCAACGAGACTTTCTACTTCCCAATTTTGCACTGAGTCTGAATTACCCATCTTTGCAAATTCAGATGTTTTCAAATAGGATATAAAATATCAAAAATATGGTAACAAGGCTTTAAAAGAATAAATTATTTTTTAAACTGATGAAGATTGCCAATTTACCAAATTACCCAGCGCCGCGCATTGATTCACCTCTGGTACCGAGCGAATATTAGGTACGTGGTGCGCTAATAGAGGTGTTGTACCCCATTTCATTTGGTTTTAGGGGTGGCGGAGCTGGTGAAATATGCGAAACGGGATTGAAGTGACCTTACTCCTGAAAGTGGGACGGACTGTACCACGCGTAGCGGTCAAAATTCGTGTTTTACAGGAAGGGGGATCAATGAACAGAGAAGGAGAGGGCGGGGGATCAGGTTGTGACAAGCGGAGGCTGGCGCCACGAGCCTGGAAGTCAGGTAGTGTGGATGGCACGGGATGGCAATTCAATGCACGAACAAGAGCAACTGTTGACGATCACATTGACAAGGTCCAGTGAGCTGGTAAATTCACAAATCCAACCACTCTGTGATAGAATGCTATTTTTCAATTATATGTAATTACGCTGTCAATTTTATCCCTCCCCAAATTGATTTCTACATTCATAGCATTTAAGTAATACACTAGTAGGAAGACCACCTTTAAACTCGGGCCTCTTACAACGTCGTTAGGGGTGACTCGGGCTCTATAATTTCTTTCACAAACCACGTGGTGTACTTGAAGATGATATTGAGGTTTCACGCTTACCAGTGAAATCCATCAATACTTGTTCTCTCGGTCTAGATCAGAAGTCAGCTCACTTCGTAATGGAGTAGATTGTATGGTGTGTAAAAAGTGTATAAAACTGATAGGAGAAAAGGGAGCAGTTGATCAAATGTCATTTGTTAAGGAAATGTGAGAATGGTTGCATTTGATGAATTCTAGGAATTTCCCTATATTTTTAGGTTGACTACTAGGCTTGAATAAAACTTCGCTAGTTTCCAATTGTCTTAAGCTTCATGGTAGGTTTTAAATCCATTTTAGGTATTTTGTGTTGCGTAAAACATGATTTTATTTACCTTAAAGCATAAGTCATTTCAAATTTTTAGTCTTGCTTTGGAGAAATATACTTTCAAAGCATTTTTAAAATTACTATACTCACTCACATGGATCACCTAGAGTGGCCATATAAAAGTTATTGTCACCTTCATCTTCAATTTCGGTTTCGATTTGTTTGATTCAATCTGAATGCACAGAGTAATGGTGCATTTTGTTGCTCTCTGAATAACAAAGAACAGTGCGGACAGATGGTTCACCAGTGAGGAACGTAGCCGAGTCACGACGACTTAATTAGCCCAGCTCCGGCCGTTGTAGCATTGACAGTTTTGTTGAACCAGCAGTCATCGGTCCCAAACTATCCGCTTTACTCCCAACACCTATTCCACTAATGGCAACGATCAGCGTTCCATTCATTCATTAATGGGATAATTTGGGATTGGAAAAGGGGGAGATTTAAGGGTTGCGACACAGGAAACATGATCTATAAGTAAAAATAAATCTTGCTACGAGGCCAGGGCAGGTGATCTCCTTTTTCCCTGTAGGTTGTTTATTGTCATGTGCTTGTGGACGTCTTTAAATACTCTGATATCTGTCAGACTGCCTTTATGCAAAAGCGTAGAACCACTCCATCAATAATCTGGCTGAAGAACCCTTGTACCAGATGCTTTAAACACACAGTAGTACCACGAAACTTTAAAAGCACACATTTCCTTTATGGCAAAGAAGTGAATTGAAATAAAATCTGGGTTTTTCATTTCTGCCAATCTCTACTAGATAGTAGTATCGTAACATTCGTTTAAGCTAGTCAAATCGTCAGATTCCAGTTTTAAAAATTATCTTATGTGCACCACTTTAAAGCGCCACTAACTGGACTATGATTTGATATTAGATTGATTTGACGATGTTTCAGGCAATTAAAAAACCTCTACTAAGAAGTAAATTGTTATTAAGGTGAATCTGTCCTAAGATTAGTTAATTTAATTCGAGGGGGGGGGGTGTTCCGCGTTTTGGTGATAAGGAAAGTGAAGCAACCATGACCAAATGCCCACGCGACCGTGCAAGGGTTTTTTAAGCGCGAACACTGAGCGGAGGGGGCTGCAAGGTGAATTTTAACCACTGGGTGATCGCATGCTTGACCTAACGACAATCCGAGCAAGGAACGGGGACTTGGCAACGCTCCACCTCTCCCTTGTTCCATCGCTGGTGCTATGGCTTGCCTGTTTGACGGTAAATTGACCATGAACTAGGCTACCAGTGTGTATTCCCTGCCAATTAATCATTTTACGTTAATGAAGAAGTACTATGCGATTTTTGTAGTAAGAATAAGAGAGAAGTTACTAACCTCAGTGGAAAGTAATCCAACTTATAACGCAAATTACAAATACTTTCCGAGATGTTGATAGGAATGGGTAAGCTTAAAGTCGAATTCGTCAGTCGACATTCGCTCTTTTTAGATGAACAAAATTATATCGCACTTTTATACTTTACCTGCTGCGTAGTTAAAGCTCATTTGGTAGGTTGTAACAAGAAATTCTGTGAGTATTTCTGCAAACATTCCTCAGTATATTCGTAAAAATGCAAATCTGGTACCTTGGAATTTGTCTTTTGCACTTCTAAATTGTTTTTAAACAGTTACTCACCGTCTCCTGCCAATGAGGCATCAGTTTGGCTCCGCAGAAATGTACTCTAGAAATCTGGGTCGAGTTGTTTTTGCTGCGAGATTCCCATTTCCAGTCTAAAGTACAATATGCATAATTTTGTGCCATTAATGCAAATAATTTTTCTGTCACAGAGCTATCCCTTCTTCAATTATAAAAATTTTGCCCAAATTTGACATACTCTTGCATTTTCGAACCAAATGGTGCAGAGTTTATTGGGGAGTATAACAGGCCTCCAACGCGTAAGTGAGTTGTCAGATTAGGAATAGCATCAAATCATGAATATTTTTAATAGAAGGGTTTTTAATGTTAAAGGCTATTTTAAAGAAGAGTGATTTGATTACAATCAACACTCATTTATTTATTTGCTCAAAATCTTTGGTTTCCAGGACCTACTTACAAATCGTTTGGATAATTCAGGTGGTGTGGCACGTGCAATTCAATCCCACCCACCAGCCTTGCCAACTAACGCGCCCAAAGGATACTTGGTCAAGATGAACAGAATGATGCCGACCCACTACCGGAAGGGACTTAGGCTTTGACATCGGGCAACTGAAACGCCGATATAAGCCAAACAATAAGGTGTGTTAAACAATCGCTAGTATGTGGTTGAAGCCTCAACAGACTGACAAAAAAGGGTAGCCGACGTCGTGACCACAATTAAGGGGGGCGGGGAGGAGGGGGAAGTGGGCTAAAGCAGATGAGATGAATACAGGCCGACACAAATCACGAGGCTCACAGATGGCGAGAGATGCACCCTATGTCACGACATACGGTGGTTTGTGTGGTCGCAGCCCTTGAAAAAAGCGTGCCCTCCCCATCAATGTTCTACTACCGCTGAGCGGAAGGCAGGAGGTGGTAGTGAAGTTACATGGGATAATTGGTGAGTCAGAGTGGCGTTAAAGTTTTAATGTACCTCCTCTGCTCTTCTCTCGGTAGTCCAAATATGTCAGGCAATCAAATCTCAGCAACACACGGTGCCGAGGTGAGACGAGCGTCAAATGGAGCAGCATTTGTGTTGTTGTTTCAAGTCACCGCCAAACTTAGTGAGTTCATCATTACTTTCCGAGATAATTAAACACTAGTTAGAATCAACGCAAAAAAAGACTAGAAACCGTCAGATTTTATGATTTGGCAGCTCTGTGAATTTTAATGTTATGCTTTCGGAAGGGTTCATCAGTGCCAAGTATTCATGTCTCAACTGCTAAGAAGCTTGGCTAATCCACCTCTCGCAGTGATTAAGCACATTCTTTACTATTTAGCAAATTATTATACTGGGTCAACAGTTGATAAATTGTCGTTTCGGAAAATTTGTAATTTCTGTCTAAAACGCAGTAGGTAAAATGGGCTAGACTTACGTGCTCTAGCTTTATTCCGTAATTTATATCAGAGCAATAATGTGTAAGATTGATAGTTGTTTACTCCAATTAAGCCCGCTAGCTATTAGGGATAGGGCTACTCGGTTGCCGGAGGAAAACACGTCTGTCTTCAGCATAAAACCTAAAGGCTGATCGTATAACTGGGCTGTCTAAAGGGGACAGATTTACGGCGAATTTAATGAATTTCTGTGAGCTGATAACTTCCACATTTAGTTATTCGTTCAACATCTTAATTGACTTTAATATATCTTGGACGTAAATGTATACATTTTTTTCTAAAAACGTGTGTATTCAAACTCGTTCCTATTACGAGCGTTTATGAAATTGGGATTATGGTTCTAGAATCTGAGAAACTAAGGCATGCGAATAACTTTGCACGAAGTCTTATAAGTATTCTGAGGCAAGTTTACCAGTCCCATCAGTTGTCTAAGTGGTTTAAAAATAATTAGCTATTTCTGAGAGCACTGAAACTGCTCCTAATCGTCTGCCCCATTATCTCAACAAAATATCATAATTCAAGAACTGCCTTGACCTATAAAAAGGAGCAAAAAATAATGGTAGACGGGATAGTCGTTGGATCACAGTAACGATTTATCACCCCACTAGAATCAATAAGGAGATGGTTGCCTCATTTATAAAGGGATGCACATTTCGATTGGAACACCCTTGATTGGTCATGTTCATCAAGACCCCCTTCGTATTAGCTTATTTCCATAAAAGTTAAATTTGATTTTATGTTGTGTGAAACCAAAAATGCAAACGTTTCTTTAGTTGGCATTAAATACTACTTTAATTCGTTTATGCTTCCTTTCGTATTCCCATATATCAAGCCCGGACCTCAGAGTAGCAAGAATTGTCGTCCCAATTACTGGTCGTTATGATGACCACTAGGTTTTAAATGTAAATTTTAAAGGTTTGGTTTTGAATACGTTGGGTTAGAACGTGATTGAGAAGCTGGTTCTGGTTGTTCCTTCTGCATACTTCTTGCGTCAACCATTTCATAAGGCGTATCAGCAGATTCTAGCGCTATTTCCTGACGTTGTCTATTTTGATGGCTTTGATGCAAATTTGGGTATTCCACAGTGAACGATTTACGCGTTTGCGTATGCTCTTTACTCCATCTGTGTTGAACAGTCACACCCTTGTCTATGGATAACTTCGAAAATCTTTGATTTGGCATTGCTATGTTCGAAGACGAAGGCATCATGCTTCCTTCCTCTTCCCCACCATCCCTCTTATCATGAGTATCCATCTGACGGATCTGTTTATCCGCTGAAGATAATGGAATGGGCACCTGTGAATTTCTACTCATAGGCAGTGCCTCAGGAATCAGGGAAAGTTTGGGTTGGGAAGATTTTTGACCACTTCTTGCGAGGTTAGGCAGATCTGCCTTAACTTTATCTTGGCCTATATCTGCAAGAGGATGAGGAAGCCCTATGCTTTCTGAATCGAGGGAAGCAATGATTGAAGATCTCTTCTTAAAAGTCATCTTGAGAGGCTCCGTCATCCCATCTCGTTCATCTTTTAGATGCCAACTCCCCTTCTCTGAAAGTCTACTTAATGATTGATGTGTAAGCGGACTTCTAAGGTCTGTATCCATTACAGGAAGAGGTTCGAGTTCCACGTTCTCAGTTGGCTCAGATTTGAGTGTTACATTATCGTCATTTGTTTGAGAGGTTTCTACACTGGGGGATGATATTAAGACAATCGGAGGCACTGGTTCATTTGACGGCATCCTTAGAGGTGACTGTAGGTGTGAATCCTTTACGCCTTCATTCTCGAGATCCCCAGTGAATTCGCTCCACGAGATCTGATCCAACGTGTCGGGGGAGAAAAGTGGAAATTTCAAGGCTTTCATCGTGAGTCTAGGATCTGTTCGCTTCTTAAAGACCATTTTTTGATGTTGTAAGGGAAGTTCTGTGCCCACCGGTTCACGCTCAATGATTGGGGGCTCTAGTTCGGTTTCGTTCTCGTTCATTGTGGGTTTTCTAACCAACCCCTGCTCACCTGAATGATCGGAGTACCTAAATAATCGACTCTTCATTGGTATGTACCGTATTTGCACCCCAAAATCTCTCTCTAAATCTTTAGAAGATTGGGCTTTTATTAGAGTGGTCTTAGAATCCGCAGGGCTTCCCAATATAGTCTGAGCATGAGGTGGCCTCAGAGAGGTTAACTTTTCCTGGTCACCCCTCACCGGTGCCTCTGCATTAGTTGTTCTTTTTCCCCCAATAATTAGTAATTTTCTTTTTTCGGCCTCCTGGTGGTCTATTTCCCCACCGGCTTGTTTTTCCAGCTCACCAACAATATCTACATTGGGCACCTTTTCTTCCGCAAATTCTACCTTTTTCTCTTCTCCCATTTCGGTCTTTTCTTTATTTGGTGGATTAATTTCTGTTCTAGCACCCACCAATGGCCTCTTCATAGGCTTCCAAACCCATTGCCTTCGTCTCTCAAGCTCTTTTACTTTTGTTCCCGCCAAATCTCTGATATAACTCAGTCTACCCCTCAATTGCTTCCATAAGAGCCGTCCTTTCGAGTGGGTTATTGATTTAAGACCCTTTAATCGCTCATTATCTATGGATTCTATTTTTTCAAGGACACGTTGGATGATAGTCTGTCTGAGAGATCTTAAAAACTCTTCATTCTCTTTTCCTCTCGTATTGATATCAATGAAAAGTTTTTTATCTGCTCTATCACCTATGCATATTTCCTCTTGATATGCCAGCTCATCTTCTCTTCCTGTTACTCTTTTATCATGATCCTTGGCATCAAAGCACACTTCTTGATGTATGGGTTGTTCGCTTGCTTCAATTGTTTGCTCAGCAATGCATTGATCGCCTGAGCTAGATTCCTCTAGATCTACTGGTTGAACTGCTACTTCGCAGGCGGTAGTCCTAATGGACGTTCTTTCGTCAATTTTTCGCAATATCCAATGCACAATGCAAGCTCCGCAAGTTTTCGCTAAGATGAGTGTGATAAGCAACTAAAAGAAAAGAGGTAATACTTGTAATTAGCCAGGAATGATGTAGTTTATTAGGGTCTGAATGGTTTACCATCTTATTATTCCATATTTGAAGAGAAACAGGTAAGCTGGAATTTAACCTTTCATCCGTCTCCAAAAATAAGGCGCTGGGTCACTGAGACATGTCTAAAGTTATGTCCCGATAAAAAATGCACGTATTTGCCAGCATTTGAAATAATGGTGTATTGGAAAGCTTAAGCGTCAAATCAGAAGTAATCGAAGCTTCCATTACTGCAGCAACGTCGGGTTTCGCCACTGGGATTAGCACTCAAATACTTAACCTCTAATGATATTAGCTTCCACAATCAAAGGGGTGCTCACATCGCGAGCAATTTTAACGTGTCCTTACAAACAACAGAAAAAATAATTTCTGATTTAAAGTTTCTATTTAGCTATATTTGGGTACAGAGCTTTGATCTTTGGACCCCTCGAATGCACATATAAAAAAACTTCACTTTTTAAAAATATTTGGTGAAAGTCAGTTATTAATCGATATTAGTTAATATACGCGTGAATTGTTATTGTGGAAACTATGCACTCTCTCAGACTAACAACGTTCCGGGACTTTAAGTGTATTTTAGAACAATATTTTATCAGCTCCTGCAACAAAGAATTCATTTTTAACTTAATTTACATAAAAGAGGACACTGAGGCAATTCTGCATAGATGTTAGCATTTGGGCAAAACAAAGAAGGGGAAGGGGAGTTAATTGGTCCAAAAGTGGGAAACCTAGACAAAAAATCTGCTCCTGCCGATCAGCCCCTGCGCAAGATGCGCAAGAAAATGCGTTCCCGAGGGGGAATGTAAGGAAGGCGTTTGATTGCAGGGCTTCACTGTGGTCTGTCCAAAATAGAAAAAGCTTTGATCTGCCGGTTACCCGTCTAGACAGAATCCCCCTTCGTCCATCAGCAGGAACGCTCAAGATCTAATTTTAAAAAGGGCAAAATCTACTTACAGGATGGCGCTAACAGACTTGATGCTGTTGATGTACCTATAAGAATGCTATCAAATGTTTAAAACCCATTGATTGAATTTACGCCTATGCACTTTTTTGGGAATCTTAAAAATGCGGTTGACCATTTTCTTGAATATAATTTTTTTTCTGATATTGAGTAGCTCAAAGGACGAATAAGTGTAAAACAGCTTATTTGAAACCGGAAAATTGAAAACCACACATCAATCCATGTGCAAAATGAATAAAGTGCTATTAAGCATGGCCTTTTTTGGCCGGCCAAGAAAAGTAATCAGGTCTTATCGTGAATGGAGGCTCTAAATGAATTTGGACCAAGGCGCTACTAACCGCGAGTACCGAACAGAATTTAAATAAACGCCTACTAAGGCCGTACAGTGATGGAGGTTAAATGAACTTCTCTATGATTTCAAGACAATTGTAAATCAAGATTAATTTAGAATTTGGTATGAGATTTTCAAGAATTATGCTTGATTAGATATATGGAACTGGGCTGAAATACACTTATTTGGGGAATTGAAACACATTTAATGGATGCTTTCAAGTCGTGTTTCCTTCAAACATGCCTACATACACTACGCTTCGACGTTTATTTCTATTTTTCATCGGTGAGCTGGCAAAATGGACGCTGTATACGACTTATGATTCCGATTCTTTTCAATGCTTTTAAGCTGCTTTTATGTCTGTGATCTTTGATGGACAGATAACCAGCTATAGGTCGAAAGAGATGAGTTTGAACCCTTACAATGGGCAGTACTGAGGTGATTTCTATGTGGATCTACAATAAGAATTAGTTGACTTACTTCGAGTGCGACGATCAGCAGGAATATATACAATCGATTAAAATAGAAAATTTCGTTTCTAAACAGTCCAGTCATGCGAAGTGTGCTACAGGGAAGCAGTTCATCACACGGTAGGATCTGGAATGAGAAAAGACCACATATTCAATGAGGGAAGTTTAATCAAAGTTGACTGAACATTGAAAGGAGCACCTATTAATTTTGCGGAATTTTTGCGACAATAAATAAAAGTTAGGTATCAACGTCACTAAAAAATTCTTCTTCAGTTTCAAGTACTTTTATAACTAAAGTAAAACTGTATTGAAGTCGGTGTGCTCATATGTACATTATGGGAGACATGTCCTAGGATTACCAGCAAGAATAGTGTATCAAAATTAGTAGTTTACGTTAAGCCGGGGGGGGGGGGGAATTTTTGACAACATTAAATTTTAGTGTTCCTAATTCCAGTAAATCCCTATTACGTTCAGATTTGCAGTAATTTTCAGATCTAGCTTGGTTACCGCATATTCACTAGGCTTAGCACGCTGCCTCACAATGCATGAACCTGGAATAAGGGCTGCATCCCATCTGAAAGAAGTAAACCTGTTTTCGCTTTAGTAGGCGAAGGAGGAGCGGGATATAGCAACTACCGCTAAACTTTTCCATAGAAACTTGTTGATTGGATCGAGTGCGCCTGCACGTAGATAAAGAAGGCGGTAGTGTTTGCATCCCCATCTTCTTCCATCCCCTCGTTCGCCCCTTTCGTCATGTTAGTTGCTATGGCTATCAAACTGAAATCCATCCCTCGCCACCCTTTTGGCACTACCCGCCTACCCCTCCTCCCCTTCTTTACTTAAAAGATCTCGGCTGCTCAAACACGTGGAAGCGTTGTCTTCATGGGCCTCGAATGGCATTAGTACCAAGGGAAGGGGGAAAGGGTGGTGGATTAAGTGGACATCCTAACGCTATAGCAGTTTGCCTTATTGTCTCAATATTGACACGTATATACATGGCACAGAGCAAGAGGTAGGAAATAAGGGAGAACAACACGTGGCCTCACTCTATTTTCCTAAACTCCATTAAAACTAATGGAAGGTTAGGCGCATATACATAAATATACCCATGGGTGGATGCGAGACAAGTGTCAGGCGCAATACATTAAAAAATACTGAAGAAAGACTCGGTAGTTGAGTGCATATAAATCAAATGATGCTGGACTTGGTAAAAAGTACCATCACTGAGCTCTCAAAGGTCCTTGTTTGCAGGAGAGTTTAGAAAAAAACTTTTGCTAAACTGACTGAAAAGGCTAGAATCTCAGATACGAGCTAATGCTTCCCTCTCGACAAAGCTGGATTGCATGAAGTGCCTTTTTTGCTACTCTGTAAAGGATATTTGCTAAATCATTTTTCGTGTTATGCGAGTGAACAGCAAATCTTATTCTACAGAAAGCAAGATTCATATCCTGCCTTAAGCTCAAAAGTATGATTTAAGCAGAGCGTAAATATAGTCTTGCAAGAGGTAAATTGTTGTTTGTTACTTCTTCAGAGATCCCGAAGCAGGGATGAGGCTTCTTACTGGGAACGCTGCTCGAATCTTCAGTGTAGGTAGTATCATTCAGACACTGACGACGTCGCCATCGATATCGGCTGATGCCACAGCTCTTCTCGCGACATTCGCTGGACTGCGTCCAACTAGACCATACTCCGCGTGGCGTTTCACAGTAAGTGCCTGATAGAGAAACATCAAAAAGACTCAACTAAGGAGACTGGCAGTAGCTCCAGTTTGTGCATTGTGATACCACCCCTCACACTCCCCATTACAGATTTGGTCACTCCTAGAGATAGTGGTTTTGCATAGGTAAAAGAGTTGCAAAACCGGATTATTTTGGTACTTATATAACTTTAAACAATTTCCATTTGATAACAGTTAAAGTTGAACTCGATATCAATATCAGGTATGGCAAAAAATCTGCTGCAGCTCTTAATCTAGCAGTGCAAATGGAGGGTTTTTTGAGTAGTTTTTTTTAAAGTAGAGTAGAATACTTCCAAAAGGGCTTTATTGTGCCTAATAAAAATTGACCTATGCACCCCAATATTAGGTCGGGATAGTTTGCATTAGGAAGTCAAACATACTCAGGGATGAGTAATCACAGTTACTTTTTCTGAAGTCTTGTAAGGATCAGATGTATTTTGGATTCACTTTTAGGCATAGCATACTGGTACATACATATCTTACTTTTTCCCTAAGTACTTATTTATCTATAACTGCAAATAAAAATACACGGTCCCTTCCTCTTTTCCAGTCATTTGTAGAGAATTCTGTGTTGGGTGGCTAGATGCAACCGAGTGGGCACAGTTTTGCTTATTTTAGTAGTACTTACGGTAAAACTAGTCATTGATGATAAGTTCCTCTATGAGGCCTGTGGTTGTACCATATGGTATTGCAAACAGACGGTCTGCTGAATAAGGGTTGACAATGGGGAGATATCACGTTCAAATAACAACTCAGCCATCAATCAAGAGAGTGTGATGGTCATGCAAAGAATTGCAACAGATCGCAACAACTACTTCAATAATCTTGAACCAAACTTTGTTTAATAAATCACTGTATTGGAGATAGAGTTCACGGTGTGTAACACGTATGTCATTCGGCTACATGTCGCTCATCGACTAGCTGAGCTTAAAGAGTAGGCTCCAAAGATGGAATATTTTTTCATCAACGATAGTAGCATTTGTATCCTTTAGGTAGCGGTTAAACTGATTGTTTCAGTAATGTAATTGGTGCCTCCATACCTCTGAGAACTGTTGGTTGACTATCCCCTAAAACCTTCTTTGAGAAAGCGGTAATAACACCTCATGCCTGTTTTCGCTCTTAGCGACTTGATGTATGAATTTTTTCCTCACGCAATTGATATCCGGAGATGTTTATTGTGCCTGTTCGCCTACAAACCACTAGTGCATATTGTTATACTTTGGACACTAGTGGCCACTATAAGTAGGAAGGAAGTTGATATAAAACTGACTCTCAGATGAAGTGATTAAATATTTTGCGGAAAAATGCCAACAATTTAGAAGTAAACACCACAAAAGAGAACTTCATCAGAATCGATTTTGACTACTATTTGTTCAACGTAAATATCCCAACTACGACAATTAACAAAACACTTTAAGTATATGTCATCTTTTAAGCCCAAGTAGCATTTGAAGATGCTAAATATGGTAACAGATTGTCGGTTCTTTATCAGAGCATGAATTCCCCTTTTCCTACCCGAGGTTGTCGCTGTCTTGGTGAAAGTTGGTTTATACCGGATTCCTCAAGTCGCCAGGTCTAACATTCTTCCCTCCTGTCTATCGACAAGCCCCGTGTGTACGGGGCCTGCGCGCGTCTGCGCGGGTGCACGCGAAAAGCGCACAAGAGATAAGCGAAAAATGGTGTATTTCCTACACAGTGAGATGAGTGCTAAGTGGGAGACAGCGCCGCACACCTGGGTATCACTCGCTCCACACTATTGGTCAAGCGTTTTTGCTAAACCCCACTCTCCACTCCGCACACATTAGGCGAGGAGAGAAAGAGCAAGAGAGCGGGAGCAGGAGAGACGACACAGAAGCACTTATTACTGGAATGCTGCCCTGCCTGCTCGGCTTATCACTCCTCTCCAATCTCTGCCTTCATACTCAAGGTGCGCGCGTGTGTGCACATTTGTGCGGCCGTACCACCCCTGATCTGTGCTCATCGAACGCAGGCGAGTGCATAGAGAAGGACGGGATTTGTCCCCGCCCGTCCGCCCCCTCCCTCCTGCGCCTGTCTCTCACTCTCCATTAGCGTGTGAATCTCGCGTCGTCGTGCTCCTCTGGTGCTATCAGCCCACTGCAATCGCTAGAACCGGCGCCATAGCATTATACACTCACCTAGAGAGGTAGAAGTTGTGCGCGCGCGCATGCATCCGCGCACAAACATTTAGTTGTACATATATGTATATGCATTCATATATATACATACGCGCAAAAGGGGAAGAGGACAAACTTTCCTTGTTCATTCACCCATCTAGTGAGGCAAGCAACAAGCAAACAGGAGTGCGTGCGCGCATGCAAGTTTACGAAAAGAGTTAATATTACCATGGCGAGGTGCGTGTATTTGTGTGCAGACGATGCTTTTTTGGGAAAGGGAGGAGGAGAAAGAGGAGGAGAGGGGGCAGGGTAGATACGGACCCTCCTATCCCAAAGATAAAGTGGGTTGATAGTGTTGAAGCGCGATTGGGTGGAGAGGATTAGTGCGCGCACATACACGCGGTCTAAAAGCCTCGGCGTGGTCTGCTAATTAGAATGTCTGTGAATAAGTCAGGAATCAACTGAAGTTACCAAATTTCGCCGAGGTTGACTGTTTTCTTGGGCGCGCAAGGGTAAGTATTCCCGTGAATCGGACAATCATCAAGTTAAAATAAACGGATTGCGATTGTGGTCAGAAGCTTTGTGCCTCTTGCTACGTAATACGACCGGTATGGAGATAAGGCACTTTTTTGTCTTCACCGTCATTTTGACTCATATGGTATCATTATGATGAATAAAAGGGCAACTTTTGGTACTGCTGATTGCCTTTTGATAAATTGCAAATTGAGAGGAGATCGAGAACCCAGAATGGTGGATGTTAGTAATGGTTGCATTTTTAAATAAATAGTTTTTCAAAGAGTAAAATTGAATAAGAGAACATTCAAGTCCAAAAGAGTCTGATTTAAATCGTCCTCACTATTGATCTTAGAGTGACGACAGTGTACTAAAATAAAGTACAAATGGGTATACTAAAATAAGTTAAATTAAAGCATTTGCATATTTTGAAGTTGAATCTTAATTGGCAGTGGAGTTTTATCACAGTAATTTCGGGTATTTCTAATAGTGTTCTGCGGATAAGAAACTCATAATGCAACGTTAGCGAGTCCAACCAATTGGGAAAATATTTAGACGCTGAGGATTTGCGCATCGCCTATCTCCTGCAGGGAGCAAATTAATATTCGTGCCAGTAGCGGTGACAGAAAAGCTCTGGCCATAAGTACAAAAAGATCAAACGGTTTTAGGCTTCTTTATGAATAAAAAGTTCAAAAATGGACAATGTTGCCCAGTTTACGTGGACGCAAAATAGCAAACCAAGAAGCTAGTCAAATACACCTTTTTTAGTATGATTCTGCTGAGATTTATGGAAATGATTTAGGACGACTCGTCATACCTAAGCAATCATCTTTGTAAAACAATGCATCTTACCATGACAAAGTACTAACCAGCTTAGAAGGCTCTGCAAGCTTCAAATGAAAACTACCTATTTTACGGCTTGAAAAAAATAATGTGCTAAAGGACGTGAGGGTCTATGGACAAACCAGTTAGTTTCTGGTAGGAAGGCACAAGTCTGTCACGTGATGTGGGTTTTTGACAGCTTGACATCAAATAAGGTGTGCCAATTCAGCTGGCCAAAGGATATGCACAATTGAAATGGATCCTATCAACCAATAAGCATAAGTTATTTTAAATTGTTCAGAGCAGTTTTACTTACCCGTATACATTTGATCACCCCCCAAGGTGGTTGGACAAAGACAAGCCGCTCTGCTAAAGTCAGCCGAACTGATACAATAGCCTCCATGCTGACAAGTGATGCTTGCAAGTACCTTTGGGATGGTAGCTCTCGTCCCATTCGTCGTTCCTTCCTCCTCTTCTTCCATTGTTCCAGTTCCACATGGGTCATTGAAAAGGGCACAGTTATCATATGGAAGTTGAGGGGAAGGAGCCCATCCTGTGGCACAAATGCATTTGTAGAAATCTGTACCCAACAAAGGATTGCATATGTTCCCCTGGGCAACACCGCAATTCTTGTTTCCGTTTGGTTCTGTCTAAAACACATTTTACTTATAAGTATTAAGTAAAAACTCTAAGCCATCACGCGTAGGCAATATATTACTTCGTTGAACCTCGTTAAGCAAGCGTTTCTCAGCTGGGCGCAGTCCTTCCCCATATATTCCGCCTTGCAGATACATTTTGGATGCTGCATGTCCAGTGCCACACAGGTGAGTGTGCCCACTGCAGAACAGGGGGTGTAGCTGCGGACGAAACAGGGATTGATTGCTTTGCATGTCCTTGTTTCCTGGTCCCACACAAAATCCTTGCGGCAGATGCACTCATAATCATCCTATGGCAATGTAATTTCAATAGTTACTTTTAAATTTTGCTTTTACTCTCCACTTATTTGAAAACTTTAGGAGTATTTTGGCTTTTTTAAGACCGATACCTAGTTAATATATTCACTTTTGCGCTTCTTCATTTCTTGATACCAACAGTAAAGACAAAGAGATGTTTCCAATTTTCTTATTGTTGAGTAATGTGCCATCGAGATATGGCTTTGAATTCCTTTACAACTAATGATTGTGCGTGGAATACGAAGGTATATTAAAGGACGATTTTTAAACATAAGCTATATAACGTAGATCTCAGGCTACGGTGGCACAACTAACGTGTCTGCCTCTACTGTCAGTATTGCAATGCTCTGACCTCAAAGGGTCCAACCACATTGCAAACATTGGGCATGTCCACGCCAGGAATCCATCGACAGGGCTTCGCGAGACAAGGAGAGGGACAGAATTGGAGAAGACTCCTCTTCAACTGGAGTGCAGTAAAGGCGTCTTCGTTGGAGTTCATCCGACGGAAGGTCACCCATGACTGGAGAGACGAAAAGCAGGTTTTGACAGTGATTTTTGAACGGAAACTGGTAGGGCATGAATAAATAATAGGAGCGTTCGGACAGCGGGGTAGCTATGTAGTCGGTTTTTCAACTACGAATCACAAAAGATATAATGAATACATTCTTGCAAAAAGATTACTTATTATTTTTCTTAATTAGGCGAACAAAATTTGTTTGTGTAAACGTGGTGTTCTATAATGTCCAATCCCTGTCTTCGGTAATTTCTAACATTAATGCGACATGGTGCCCGCATGTCTGGTCTAATAACTTCATCTTGCAAACCTAAAGAATGTGAACAGCGAAATACATAAAATTTGTGCAATTTGTTGGTTCTCTCGGGGTCTTACCAAGCATGCAACTGTTTTACCTATTGTGGAAAATGGACTACTGTGGTGGATGCAGCCACCTATTTCGTCACTGGTGTCTGCGAGAAAAAAACATCACTGACGTCAATCATTGTCGGCTCTCCTTAATCGATGTTCGGAATATAAATAAATTCGTGAATTGTCGGAGCTTCGCCAATCTTTTTCCCAAAAAATTGCTAAAATGGTCCACTTTTCTTCAAATAAAAAGTAAGAAGTTGTGTAAACAGCCCTGGAATTCTTTCGTATCAGACTCGATTTGATTCTTAAACCGGAATTCATGCATTTACTTGCCCTCCTTGCTTGGTTGGGTATGGATGGTTTAGCAATCATGTCAAATCTTGCATTCATATCACACCTTGTTATTGCACACCAGGAATAAGGTGTAAGAGTATTCAGATATTTTATGTGTTAAACAAGATTTTTCGAGCAATAAGTATGCGACTTAAACAAAGTGCTTATTAATTTTTTGCCTTAAGCATCTTCCAAGTCAGTGTAGGATCTATAGACGATCAGTATTTTAGTCGAGCCTCTTTGCCGACTCCTAATATTTAGTATGAGCTTTTAAATATATTAAATTTCCCAATGCTAAAAGAATGAACGTATCGTAGGGTATTTTTCTGCAGAGAGAGAAGGTTTCATATTTGTCTTCGATATAGCTTTGACTTTACGAATAAATACAGCTAATTACAATTCTTCGGTCATTAAATTGAAGAGTTCTACCAACTCATATACCAAATTATTCATTCCCGCGAGCATCCCCATAAGTAAATTCAACCTGTTTGCTATGTTGAAAAAATGATCCCGATTAATGGCCATGTCAACTTAATTAATGCTTAACAAACAAACATTTCTTTAGGGCCACATGTATAACACAACGGTATGGTTGCACTGGCATAAAGTACCCTGAATTCCATTTGCATTCTTCAAATAATCCGTAGTGAATTTATCGTTTACCCTTATCCTCACATCAAGTTACATCGCATTTTGGCATTCTATCTTATACAACAAGCTGGTTTAAAATTGTATATAAATGAAAAAGTAATTAACGGAATTTATTTTGAAATCAATGCAAAGAACCACATTCTGCGATCGTTTAAAAAACCACAATTTCACTCCCATTCCTTCCAAACGTGTGTCTTGATTTCTAGTTGAAACTAACCTCATGACGGTCTAAATGCTTATCGCTCGGGGTCTGTGAATCTTTGCCTGTCAAAAACACTTACCTAAGTTAAACATTTCAAACATCCTTACCAAATCTGAAGGCTTGATAAACGTTAAACAAACAAATCATGTCAGTGAGGACCTTCTTATACAGAGCCTAAACATGACCTGCTTTTGTATGGTGACAACTTTGTTCGTTGGACTAGTATTCGGATAAAATTTCAGGTATTTTGTTGCACAACCAAAACATCATTTATGTTTACGCAAATAATGACTTTGTGAAGTAGTGATAAATAACCGAAAGCGATGCATAAATATTCGCAGTAGAATAGATGACTACCTAGAATCATTCAATCTAGCCTTATACGAATTAAGCGAATCAACAATGATGGCTGTTTCGCAACTCTTCATAAGACCTCAAAATATAAAAGTAATTCTCAGTATGCTGTAATTTACTTAATTAAAAGACACAGGATGCTTTCGTTGCATGGATATAGCAACACCCCCGACGGCTAGTTGGATAATGCCTTACATCGTAATTGATGTAAAACAGTCTATTCAGTGAAGAGTCCCCATTCACAGACGGAGTTGCCTCATATTTGTTTGCAAAATTTCAAACTTCAAAAACTATATTCTATCCATCCACTTTAGTTAGCAATACTTTTCAATTACTGAATGTGCCTTTTTTCTGAGCTATTTCTTAGTGGCTCACATGCTCAGTTCCACCATCATCCTTGCAAGCACAATCGTCCTCTCGTCAATCTCAATGCCTTATTTAGAGACTTTACCAACTGTTAAGACAAATGGTGAAATAGACCTCAGTGAAGCTCCGTTTAAAAATGGTTCAATCAAGTACTCCTTCAAGGTCTAGCTTTCCTGGCAGCTTTACCAGTAAGTAGTCAGCTAAAGCTGTGTAAATATGCATACGCGCATCACCAGCACTGAAAGGTAAGCAACAATCGTTCGACTTCGTCTCTTGTGTAGCAGTGAAACCTCAAGAAGTCTCTGTCAGGGGATTAGTGCAAATAGTCAGCGTTGGAAACCTACGCATCTTCTCGTCAGTTGTTCGACTTAAAAGGATGTGACTTAAATACTGGGTGCGCACAACTGTAACTGCTTTAGCCAGTTAGTTAGTGCTCTAAATATCCAGCAATAAATACCTGATTATCCAATGAAATCTTATTTACAGATAGTCCTGTTTCGCGTCCTATTACTGTAAATTTTGTATTCTACCTACAGAGTCTAGTTATCAGGGTTTTCAATTAAGAGATGTTTCTACTTCTGAGCCAAATAAAGACCGATCAGTAAACTCGAATCGGAACCCCACCAATTGTTTAATTGATAACATTCCTTAAAAATCGGTTTAGGGATTGAACAAGGCAAGCCCATTGGGATTTGGAAAGATAATCATTCAGGGTGGCAAATACATTCAACTGTATCATCGTTCCTACAGGCTATTCTTAACAAAGACGTTAAGTTAGATTCTTCAGTTCAATTGCTATCGGCTGCAATAATAACCAAAAGATTTAAAGCCTAATGAGTGTAATGCAAATGAAACTCTGTTTGAAAGTGGATTGGTTAAGAATGATTACATTGCTGCCACAAAGCTCTAACTTTTCCATCTGACCACAAAGTGCTGAGCTCTTCAGATAATTCGTTACAGGATGATATGAATGGGTAAGGGAGGACATGAGAAAGGTAGCAGTGACAAATTGGATAGGTGGTATGGGTAACAGTGCAATGTGGAAATTTTGAAATAACGTCGCATTTTCCTTCTGAGGATGGCTCAATGGACCTAGGGAAAATTAAGGCTTCATCCACAACATTGTAGAGTGCATTTCTAATTTCTCTCAATGGTTTTTGATCGCAGAATGATTCTATTTGACTCTTTGGAATAGCAGTATTGGGTATTTACCAAGTTGAGGGAAGCGAGAACTAGGTAGCATAAGAATTTAACTATTTGAAGTTACTGTTGATAAAATTGAATAAAAATAATCTTTTTGATGCATTCAACTTAAAAGTAGGGAAATTCGGCATAACTATCCCAGGTGTTATTAGAATTTCGTTATTATCCGAACAAATATATTGCACTTTTTTGAATTTCTTGTGCTTAAACCATAACCAGTCAGAAAACTGAAATTAAATTACAATTGCAGTTATGCAAAAAACCAAGCTTCTGTCCGTAAGGATTTGAGATGCAAAAGCTTAGTAACTATTTCGTCAATATAACATTAACTTGACTTTTCCTAGCATTTATCCGAAAAATTCCTAGCGAATCTGCGCGCTCTAACGATAGATGAGAAGCGAAAGAGGGAAAGGAAAGGGGAGACAGGATGGGGGACGTACATTTACGCACCACCAGAAGAGGAAAACGACGGGCATGTTCTCGATGGGGTCCATAAGGACGAATATGGCGTCCTGCATGGGCTTGGGCGGGTTGCGACAACTGATATCGCGCACACCTGCAGTGCAGCAGGCCCATGTGCCACCTTCACATACGTAATCGAAGACGCGTCTGCGGAAGGTGTCAAAAGCCGCCTGCGGATCGTACCAGTTCGCGTCCGACGCCAACCACTCCTTTGCCATGTTCCAGAAGAAGCCTGCAAACCATGTCTCAATTTCATCTTTATAAAAGCCCGTTGCTACTTATTTTCCTCTTATTCATTCATGGTGATAATTGAATGCTGGCTTTAAGCAGCCACCTGCAGTACACCTCATTATAAAGGGCAAGTACTTAATCCGCAGTGGCATTACCTATAAATTCTAGAAAGCACTTAAAATCGACACTTCCATTAAGACCGTATTAAAGTACAATGCCTCAAATGAAGCCTACATCCTACAACGTCACGTTTTAGCGTTTGACCAAGAAAGTGTGATTTACGAGTCTGGAAGGAGTTTTATCATAAATGTGAAGGAGAGGAAAGGGGCTGTTGGCATGAATAGGACTCCATGCCACCACCATGTAGGTATGAACATGGAAGCCTGAAGGACCTGTGAAATCATAAAAACAAGCAAATAGCTTTCTACTAGAATAGTAATGTCCATTGTTGATTATATTTCACTACTTCTTTTACGGCTCTATTAAATTGCCGCATTTCGGAGCTTAATCCACATGGGGACGATTAAGCGTGGTGATCCATAGAAGGCAGCCAATACATTCCAGAGGGAGCAACTGATGCCACCATTGATTCGATTTTAAACGCAATCATGCATACAATCACTTTTTACTTTTCTTATTTATAAATAAAATGTAGAAGCAAAAATAACTTGGGTTAACTTCTTTGTTAGTGCACTGTTGCTCTGCTACACCATAGTGCTATTCGTGATTTGAAATAAATAATACTATGGGCCTTCCATGATGGATGCGCGTACCCAAAAGATTTGAATAAAAATTGTGTGTAAAAAAGAATAAATGTTCCATTAAAAAGGGTAACCCCCTGAAAGACCTATCATTTGAGCCGTTAAGTGCCGAGTCTGGTCACCAGGACGGCTGTGCTCTACGTCCTGATCAGTCACCACATCTATTTGATTCAAACCAAAAAAGAGAGTCAAAATACTACTTTGAGCCCTTAGCTTCTGTGAGTAGAGTAATTTTGAAAGACTTAAAACAAACGAGGCACTTGATTTGTTTTTAATTCTGAATTTATTAAACGAGAAAGTTGTGTCACAACCGCAGCTGGTAAGTTAACGGTTGAAAACCAATAAGGATCAAGAATAATTGTCTTATGGTAAACGTTGAAATGGGATGACTGTGAATAAGAATCAAGAGAAAACAAAAAGACATTCGGTTAAGGAGAAAAATCTGGAAAGCTAAAAATCTTCATTTGTTATTTTTTTGGGTTAGAATGGAAAGGACTGCCACAGAAATATGATTTTGTTGAAGAATTTTGTAATCTTATAGGCATGCATTATGAGAAATGAACGCCTGCTGCTTTCAAGCAAGTTTAACCGAAAAGAGGACTACAAACAGTGCCCTTGACTTTCTAGCTTTTGAAGTTACAAGTCAGACCAGCACTGACCTTTGATACGTATGCCTAAAATAGAGTATAAGCAGCAGGCCATCTCGATTGCTGAGAAGGGATACAATAAAATGGATTACTATCAAAGGAATATTTAACAGATTTATTCGTGGATGATACAACTTTTCTGTGGAGTGGATTCATACAAAATAATATTGCAAATTTTTCCCTTGTAGAGCGTAACCCTTTAATTTTGCGAGTTTACCAGGTAGCTAAGGTGAGGAGGTAGTGGTGTACGGGTACATTAGTGAATTCTTACAATTGTAGAATCAATTTGGAAGAGATGAAGTTTTTAACTTGAGATCGAGGGTTCTTGGATAAGTCAACAGTCAACAATCTCTACGTCTACTACAGGGAAGCTCGAAATATCAAGGTCTTGAAATGCTAATCAAACAATCCTCAGTGGAAAATTTATAAAGTCTTCCAACAGGATAGGCTGTAATTAGGTGATCGCAGCATAGAACTATCTAGAAATGCAATTGAAAACATAGTGGGAACTAAAAAAACGCGGTGAGGCACCTAGTATGGATTTTTATTCAAATAAGCAGCCAAATAACGGATAGAAACATGATTTTCCACTAGTTTAACTAAGTGAGGAGGGTTTAAAATGTGGTGCGACTTATTTTCTTCTTCAACATGTTTTTGTAATCGCTGTTCCTACCTTTTAAGCCGGAAACATTCTGGACGGACGCGGTGACGCGTACGCCAAACGCTGTGCCCCTTGTTGAATTGGTAACCTAGTTATCTCTGCTCATATCTCAAGACTTTGGAAAACGGAATATTTAATGCAATAGATGGCTCCTTTAAAAGATTACTTTAGTGCGTTAAAAATCTGGCCAGTTTATCAAGAAGCGTCGGTGGCGAGATATTTACTGAATGTCTTTTGTTACAACAGTTTGAGCCGAAAAACCCCATATCTTTACGCAAACACATCAGTAAAAGAAAAAGTGTGTTCACGATTTATGAGGCTCAAAAGTTTGGCATATACAAGCATGCTTCAGTGGCTGTTACAATATGACCGTCATAACCAAAGCAGATGGGCAATAACTGACACCTACTCCGGCTTGAAAGAATTTCATTCAATCACAGCACCACCAAGATTTCCGAACCGCAAAGCCTTTAGCCCTGGACAATCTTGTTACCTCCTAACTGAAGCTGCTAGATGCTGGCAAAATCTAGGTTAACTCAGTGATTACAAAGTCCATTAATCGAATTTATCATAACGGACGAACTTCTTTCAAAGTTTTTCTTCGGAGAAGTTCCAAACTCATTGATTGATCACTTAAAAAAAGATAAATGGAGGTGTCAAACAGACTTCCCTGTTCAACAATGAAAATGGTGAGGCGATTTACTTTTAGGGGCTAATTTAGAGTTAGTTCCGAATATTTGACAACTTTATTCAAAGTGGCGACCCTGTTGAGAGTCCCACGCATGTAGAGCAAGTTATCAAGCGAATTTCAGCTACTTGGTTCCATAAGTCCTGATATTTCTATCGAAATTAAAGTAAAAGGACTCAACAATTTAATCTATCCAGCTTTCAAAATGCTTAATATCCGCCAAATTTTGGGTTTTTACGATCAAGGGATGCGCAAGCTACTCAAGTGGCTATATGGAGCTCTTTATATTATCCAAAAAATCACCATGAACACTATGTGCAATTATATACTTATAAACAAATAGTTCGCTTATCAACTTTTACTAGGAACGGAATTAGAATAGGCTTGGGTGGAATATTGTTTTTTTGGCAAGGATGTGTGACTAGGTTGCCTACAAAATGTGTTATCTTACCAATTGACAGCAAATACAGATATCCGGGCCAATTCTTTCTGTTCATGTAATCCAATAAGATTATTTAATCACTCTCAAGTAAAGCTTGACCGTAATGGCAACCCACTTGCTTCATTCACCAGGCATAAGTTGAATAAAGTAGTAAAGGTGTAGAAGGGGAAGCAAATAATTGACTTCTGATTAAGACATGTCTGACTTTTATCTTTCTTTTTTTGCCAAAGAATGCACCTGGCCAATAAATTCGAGAAAAATGGCTTCTTATCAATATTCCACATGGCTTCAACTGTTCCCAGTGGCTAATCAAGGAATAGAAGAAACTATAGCCAAACTCTTTCTTATGCAAGATCTTCGGCTTTGTCATAGCAAGTTACATTCGGACTCACGCACACTAAGACGCAAACATCTAACAGGCTCGTTACCATTGCCACTCTTTCTTACTTGAACCCTGTCGGAAACCCCTGCCATTTAAGACCACTAAAACATCTGAGCTATGGCAGCCAGCACTAGCCGTGTTTTTTACTTGTCTCCTTTGAGAATTCATCGACTTTAAGACCAACACAATCGTATAATGAGTCAAAAATTGATGCTTCTCACTAACTGCTATGAATAAATAATTTAATTCCATCTGGGTTTAATGTCGTTGATTGTAAAGGGTCTTTTTTTCCAGGTCAACTAAGACTAGACTACCAGGAAAAGTGGAGAAAGTGGTTTCACAAACTACAAGTAATACATTAGCGCCTTTACCATATTTAACCGGGACAGTTTTTTCTCTCATAGTTACACTCGTACATTTCAAGGGCACTGTTAATCATTCCAGAGTACTTTGAATGAGATTATGTTGCGAAGATTTTACCTTTTTTCATGAAACTGTCGACTTTTGATACTTTTACACTTCTAGCAGTTATGTTGCTTCATGAATTTCTTGGAAGTGCCAGCATCGGGATAAGAAACGTATTTTGTGAATAGTTTGTAGTATTTAAGGCTCAGTAAAAGCAGCATAGTCAAAGAACGACATCAAGTCAATTCTACACTAACTTGATCAAAGAATATGACAAAAATATGTTTTCAAATCGAACACATGTAAAATGTTGCACTTTTAAGAGTGGTATAATCCCCAACAAAATCTGACAGTGATCTGGAGCAATGCTTAGTGGTCAAGAGGTCAAATTTGTGTGATTGCTGGAAAGAACATAAAATTTTGACGAATTAAATCCAGGATCAGTATGGGAATAGAATTTTGCGTAAAATTAGTATGAGCATTTGTGCGACAGGCAGAAAAACTGGAATTGCTCCTGCAGTAGCTGCAGAAATCACGGGCTAGTACAGCCTTTAAGGTGAAACAAAACTAAAACGTTTCACGACAACGTTGAAAAAAGGCTTTTTATTGCAAACTTCTTTCAGTTAGCCATAATACTAAGTAATAGAGTTCTTTTATTCATCTGTTGCAATAGGGAGAAGTTTAATCTATCCAAAGGCAAAAATTTATGATTAGGTAATGATTTGAATGAGTCCTTTCGCAAGCCGATATTTATGTGCAACAATAGCTTGAAATAGTATCATGTAAATAATAACCAAAGTCCATTGCTATTCCAAACCATGAAGGCAGTTCTCCTTTAAATTTAAAGAGAACATCCACTTTCAGAGAATGCCGAAGATAAGATCAACTGAATAGGACCAAATTTGGTTCAAGTAAGCAAATGAATATGGTTTGTGCTTCATTTGCTCCTGCTACTATTGTATCATAAAATCGTACTTTAAAGTCGACAACAGCAGAGCTTTCTGAAACCCACCATTGACCAGAAACTTCTTGCTGCCTTCGTCATAGGCGCCCAGATCCGGAGCCAAATTGGTGCCCCAAACGCCCCGGGGGAAGCCACGACTATAGCGCAGGCCAACTGGAGAGCTTTCGAAGATGCCTGCAATACTGCGTTGGGCAATGAACATCTCTGAGATCCACTCGTCGACGGACGAGGCGAGCACTTTGGCCACGAGAACCAGTGCGAGTGCAAGCGAAACCAGCATCACTAGCTGCATGCACGTCGGGGAAAGAGTAGAGCGATCGATTGCCGGTCGATTGGATTAAAAAAATCGATACTTCATCCAAGGCCGTTTGTGAGGCGGGAGGTTTCAATTGTGCACTTGCTGTGCCTGCGCCAGGCGATTCGCTGTCCAGAGGCTGCGTATTCACCTACATAGCAAAGCGGGTTATATCAACGACATAGATTCAGGCTGACAGACCTTGGATCCAGTCAATAACGTAACACCAAACGAAGTTGAACATAAACTGCGTCTACGTAGCGACAGTGCAAAATAGTAGTATTTTCTTATTCATTTGTGATTAAGTGCAACACACCTTAATAGCTCATGATATTAATGGAAACGGATAGTGTTAATCCCACAAAGCTACCGAAGGATTGCCTCTAGTATTCAATAGCAAGACATGTAATTTTGAGACAGCTAATTGGAATAGTCATGGGACTGTTTTGATAGGCGTTATATCAGATCATACAAATGATTCAGAAACCGTAGATTCCTAAAACCATTGTATCTGAATACCGCCTTTAGCTCACTTACCGCTGCCTTGGGAAGTTAGGCACAAAAAATGTGCGGCTTTTTGATCGAAGTTATTAGTGCTCACTTGACGAAGTGACAAATGCTGACCCGAATGTTTGATAGTTATTAGCCGTCACGATGCCTAAATACAAATTAATGCATTGCGCTGATTTTGGGGAATTATCCCTTTAAATATAATGATAGCTAACCGCGGGGAGGTTGGATAAGTCAGGCCTACTAGGATTCAGTGGTATGACTAACGAGGACGCTGCCTCACTAACAAACACTGATTTCATCCAGTAGAATGCAAAAGGCAACTGGGTAACTATAGGAATTGGATTTAAGGCGGCGCACATAAGAAACCTGGCAGTAAAATAGCAAGGTCAGCCCTCTACCAACCAACTTAGCATCGCAGCTGTGTCCAGTCTATCGGTTTCTGTACAAAGACCTAAGTCGTAATAATTGTTAAGCGTCGAGGAATCAACCCAGCTCTGCTGTCTGGCCCACGGGACTGAGGCCCGACCCCTTTATCACTTTAATGCATATCCCGCAACATTACCCGTTAGTACTATTAAATGGTAAAAATTAAGCATAGATTGCACATACCGTTGGAAAATGCTTTTGTGAATTTCGCTAGCACGTAACGCCGCATAAGAGCGCGACCACTTACATCAGGCCAGAGGTCGTCATTTGACAGAGCTAATTCAAGCCACGCTTTCTTCCAACCAACCAACTGCCCCAGTGAGTAGAATGCACAAAGATTTCAAGCTGTATTGAAATAACATTCAAAGTATATGTACACATGCACATCATTTATTATCAGCCCCACTCGACGCCTAGCCAATTGATGCTCTTCTCTCTCTCTCTCTCGGGCGGGCGAGTGGACAGACAGACGGACGGGGGAGCAGGACAACTGGCAGGACGTGAGAAGGCCGAACTAGACGTTTTGTACACGTGTCAGTCGGGAAAATTGCAGAGGAGACACGTCACTCTCACTCTCACCTTCCACACTCTCCTCCCCTCAATATCTGCGTGTGTGTTATCTCAAGAGCAGCGGTGCAACGGTGGGACAAAATCAGCGACAACAGCAGTTAAAGGAGATAAAGAGAGCGGGATGACGAATCAGTGACCACGAGATCAGAGCAAGAACAGCGAATACAGAAAAACATGCTAGGTGAGGAAAATGAAGAGATAGTGATTCAAGAGGACGAAGTATTGATAGAAGCTAACACAGAGAGAAATTGTGCATCGAAGATTGACAGAGGGGAAACAAACGCTTATACGAGAAGTAGGGGGCGTTACGAAGTACCCCCCACTTCATCCCTCCTTCAATCGCTAGGATCGATGCTTCCCTCCTTTCTTACCGCGACGACTGGAACTGTTTTTCGGCTTTATTTGTTGCCACTGAAAATGAAGTAACGGAAAATTCGTAAAACTACGGAATCAGCCAATAAATCCAACTGGCATTAATGATTAAAATTACACAACTAAAGGACTGGCAACTCCCACAGTTAAAGGAAGACAACACAAGAAGTCGAGCTTTCAAAACCGCGGTAACATACCACACTCTCTGCGTGCGAGTCATTAGCTTCCGAATAGGCATTTGACGAGTACACATTGCTTTCGTTATTAGTAGGAGCCGATGAAGGTTGGTGATCATTTTGGCTCCTCTTCAACCTTGAATCACTTTGCATTTCCTCCACACGTTTCCGATGCAGCTGCCAGCAGGTATGACGACGATCTAGAAATTCCCGTACAAACTGCTCCGAACGAGGAGAGCTGCCAAGGTAGGGGACCAGCATGCTTTCTACCTGCGATGGAAACCCACAATAATGTTTACTAAAGGCGCCCTCGCAAGTACCACAGTTCTACATGATATAGTAGGGGTGATGCACCGATGTTATCAACTGGATGCATTTCAATCCTATGCTACATTAGATAACCAACAAAATTAGAACCTAGATCCATGAAAACTCTTCAAAATTAAAATAATTTACAGATTACTTCGTAAGGCGCATCAATAGTTGTAAGAAGTTCCACGAGGGTGGGAATGTCAACCTTCTCCCTCAATTCAAAGCCCATCAACGCCGATTGAACCCAACAAATGAGGGTGTTGAGCTCATCTGTTAGTACTGAGTTATCATTTTCACTGCCCTTAGACTTTTTTGAGGATACTGTTCCGTTATGTCCTGATTTCTTGACACCATTTTGCACTGTCACCTGTTGTATTTGTTCCTGCTGCTGGCGAGATTTGGCCTTCTTCTTCGTGCTGCCGCTTCCTTCCGACAACGGAATCTACATTTTTGAAAGGCAAAGGTGAGAAGCAGTCTCTTTGCGTTAAGGAGAAACTTCTGCATTCAAATGAAAGCAAAAGAAATGAATCAACAGAAACGACTGATCAAACCTGCGAAACCCATTTAAGAGGAGGAGTCGCCGGTGAACTATTTGGTATTGCTGACTTTCCAGCACTACCACTCAAAGGAGAGATGGCGGATGAGGATAAGGAAGACTGTTTCGCCGATTTATTCGCCTCGCCTTTGGCCGCAGTCCTTGCCAATGTCGCTGCCTTCTCTATCCAACAACTTTTTGTCAGCTTCGTAGTCATTGGTTGTGGTTGCTCCGAGGCTGAGACCAATCTACGACCTCCTACAGAGATGGAGTTGAATTGAAGGGATTCGTTAGACAAAGCAGAGCCACCACCACACCCTGACGACGTCGAGCAGCTGGAACATCCCGACTGAGAGACGGCGCGTTGAGACTGTTGGCTGCCACTGTTGTCGTCCGCACCGTCAGATTTGCTACCAGTTGGAGAGTTTTTTTGTTTTTGGGAGGACTTTTTCGAGGTAATGACAGCATTCGTGTTCTGCTTCGATTTAACCTCGGATTTGGAGGCCCCACCATCCGAGCTCCTTCCGCCAGCTGATTTGTGCCGAGTCCTGTTTAAACGTAAAGGGCACAAAGTAAAGGTCAAAAAATCACATTTAATGAATCAATACCCATGCCACTAGAACAAAACCAATTTAAAACGCTACGAGTGAGAAATGGAAAATCACAGTTCAATGTTTATTGACGCCCACTTCAACTACAAGTCTATTAGTTTTAAATTCTTCACATAAACAAGCCTTTGAAATGAGAACACATAAATAGCACAGTTCGAGAAACAAATAAAAATCTGGAAGGTAAACAAGTCAGCTCCTAGCGCGTAATGGATTATGAATGATCAATACACATAGACCCACTAGGCGAACTGCTAACTGATATTCAAGTTACAAATTAAAATCCGAGGGATACTAACGCTTTGGGCAAGTGATTGTCAGCACTGAGACCGGAGACAGACTGGAAAGGAGTGTTCTCATCGGAAGAGGGCGGTTCCGCTGTCTTGTCGCCCCGAGTGACGGCATTCACAAATCCACCGCTACCTGGATCAGTGACCGCCGACGTGGAAGCCAAGAACACACCGTCCATGCATTGCCGGGCCGACAATTGCTGCTGTTGCTGTTGTAGTTGTTGCGAAAGCAGCTGCGACTGTGATGGTGGCGGCGGTGCCCAGGGAATACCCAGGCCGGGGTTAGTGAATGCTGCTGTGCTGCTCACCTGCAAAAAGCAGTGAGGAAGTAATCACTTTCTATAGTGTTAAAAAAGTGAGCAGTAGGTGACTGCCTGGAAGAAAAAGCATCACTTGAAGCGTAAGCGCAACACCTAGTTATAAGTGCAAAATCTTCCATTATCGCAACTGCTGTGTTGACGGAACCTTGAGGAATTCAGTTGCAACGGGGTGTGTACACCGTGCACATTGCATAGTTATACCACAGTAGAAGTGAATCATGTGATCCAGATGGTTTACAAGCGATCCACGCCCTCTAGTACGAGCATTAACACGCAATTTTTTTAAAAGTACACGACGAAATTGTAAAAAACACCAAATTTCATGGAAAATGGTGCTAAAAAGGATTACAATAGATCTTATTCCCGCTACGTAGGGAGATGAGTACTGTCACCTGCGTTCAGTAGCACAGAGCTGTCGACAATAAGCAATCTGACAGCGGGATTAACATCACAGTTCTGTAGTTTTCCATTATGGGGGCACCGCCGCTTTGCATGGCTAAAAACGTTGGTCACGAAGTGCATCCCATGAAGAAGAAGCAAATCGCGCTTGATAAATTACAAATATTTACAAGCAGAAGCCGAGTCTGAAAACCCAAGTACACACGGTTGAGTAGCGCATGAAAGTCATGCTTTCGGGGTCGAAAGCGACTAAATATTCAGTAATAACTAAGAGTCTATTCAAAATTTAAGTACATGTCTAAAAGGAAAGGTTAGTCGGCATCCAAAAAATCCGAACTGACGCCATGAACCCACCTATAACTAATGCAGGATGAAGCTACAAGCAAATACGCCCATAAAACTCAATATTAAGCAAATCGATGTTTCATAAACTGATACCTGAGTCCAAGCATACCTCTTGCAATAGCGACGGATCGAGCCGAGCTTTTGAGATCAACTCCGAGAGGAAAGAGAACAGAGGATTGTTGAAATTCATGGCCACAGCCCCGGGATTCGACGCAATCATCTCGGTCAGCTGTTTTAGAAGAAACGCCTGGCCGGCAACTGCTGCCACATTCGAACAGGACATCCCATTTTTCCCGAACCCACCAGAAGCATTCACAACCTGAAAAGGGTAAGATGCCCTATGATTATCTCCGGTCCCAATTTAGAAGGAGCTAGTACTGTCTACCCAAGCAAGCAATAAAGCATTTGCACCGTCTTAGTTGCGCAGTACTGACAGAGCACTGGGTTAATAATCCCACTCTAAATATGGGGCCGAGCTAAGGCAACAATTAATAGCAGTCCATCGTTTGCCTGAATCTCAGTCATGAAAGCTGAGAATACTTTTAGGATAGCTAATAACGCCAACTTAATGAACACCCAGTAAGGAATGAATAAATAAGGATTTCTGGCAAAGTGGAGGCAACAGAAAAGCAAAAAACACCCCAAACGAGCCGAAAAACATGCTCATTTCAAGGAATAACAAGAAATTCGTCCAGGTCAACTAACACAACCAAACTTGAGACGCAATAGTAAACAGAGCACAAATCTTTCTTATCCAATACGACAACCGATGTTTACTTGGAAGTCGTCATAAAAAGCCTAAACAATATGAACGACCTCGGTAAGAGCTCCACCTAACAGCATAACACGAACGGGTTGAAAATATATTTAAGTTAGCGAAGCTTTTAAGTTCGAACACTCGAGTAGGAGATAACCAATCTCGTATTTCGGGTCCCGAAGGAGAACTAAAAGAATATTGGAACGTGAAAAGCTTTACCAACGCCAAGTATTTTCACACTAAGAGTTTTAACACCACTTGTTTATGCGAACAGATTACACAAAACTCACTACTACAGGGGTCCAAATGATCAGAGATCTTGTGGGTAGAGAATGTAATGAAAACGAAACGAATGAGCATTGTTGTAACGAAACAAATGCCGAGACAATATGAGGCAACCTCAAAAAGCAGTTAGGCGCAAGCGATGCATGAGACGTGAATATGTTGGTAGTTAAGGAAAAGTTTGAAAAAATAAAAAGATATTCAATGGTTTTAGATCGTACCACTTTGCACGTTAAACAATCGAAAATGGAATGGACCTATCCCAAGTCAAAAATCCTATTAGATCAAGCAAAGGAATCAAGATCAACGCCATTTCCAGTCAAAAAGCTCTGAGTGGCGCGGCACCATTGAATTATGGTAACGCTACAATTTCACAATGGTGTCAGTTGGCTTAAACCCAAATCTGCCTAAGATGAGTAAAATTGCAGCAGATTCACAAGTTCCGAAAATGTCAAAGCTAAAACGCATAATTGAAAGCCTAGATAGCAGCATTCAGTTGCCTCAAAACAATAAAAAAGGCCGGAAGTGAGAGTTGGTATCATAGGAATTAAAGGCAAAATAAACAAATCGAACTACCCCGGGGTGAGGGTATAAGCTAGCGGTTGAAGTCCATGCAAAAGAAAATTGCGTTAGCTTCACGTGTTTAATGAAATACCAACAAAATGAGGTGAGGCTGTTGCCTGCATACATTTAAGAGGAATACACGTTTCTGAATGTACTGAAACGCACAATTCACAGTAATTAACGCAATTAAAATGATCTTCAAGGGATACAATTCGAGTGTCGGATTCGAAACACAAGTCGTAACGTAAACCTGTTCGTTAATGCTTAATGTTAATAAGAATATGCACAATCGAACTTAGTTAATCAGAAAGCAACTCATTGATACACAAATATGCAGATACTTGAGTGGTAACACGCGAAGAAAATTTAGACTTCTAATAAAGTACGGAGAACCTAAATCCCTATGCCTATGAAAGCAGACGGGTTGAGAGCCTGATAATGCAGGGTACAGAGAGGCCATGGAAGTGTCCACCACTACCTAGTATTCAGCTTGGAGCAGTTCTCAACGGGCATATTTGACCTGACTCCTCAATGACGTTAAACGGAAATCAGCTGATCAATAAGCTAGAGTGCAGGGAGATGCACATCCACGGAAATCTGGTTTTGCACAGTGTGCTTTTGTGGTGCCAGAGGCGTGTTCTTAAACACACGCGCAGCATGTAAACAAGCCTGCGTAGATGTGCGATCGCGAAGCGCAAATCAGGTCAGTATAACTGCGTGACGTGAACACGCGCACCCATGTACTTGCGTAGGTTTGCTGTGCCAACATTCATGTCGCATACACAAAAACGGACTGCCCTCTGCATTTCTGCTACCGTCGTGCCGACCGGCAGCACTAAGTCAAAATGAGGCATACGCGAAGGGTTGATCTATACACACCTTCTGGATCAAAAAGGTTGGCAGCGAACTTAGAAATGTGAGAACAAAAGACACGCCAAACCAACAAGGCACGGAAACAGGGGACTAAAATCGGCACAGAATAAACATAATTAAGGCATAGAAAGACGGCTAATCTAGTTAATCGGATTTTACAGGCGCGTTTCCTCACCCATACAACACAGGAAGTCTTGTTTCAATGGTGAAAATACACCCATTTCAAGGCTCCGGTGTGGCTAATAAAATTCGTGATTCTTTTAAAAGCCATACGGACTTCAAAGTGTCAATGCTAGAAGTGGAAAGTGCACGCGCACGCACAAACGGGAATAGTTAAAGATGAAGCATGACAAGTCGATCGGTCACACATACGTGTGAATTGAAACCGCACGGTGTGACTAAGTTTGCACATTGGTGTTGAGTCGAGGAATCGCATAATCGAAATGGGATATTATTTTCAACAATACGAGCAAAGGTAACAAGCGAAAAAAAATCATAACCACCAACTTCACCACTAGAAAAATAAGGAATGCGCGCGAATTAATAACACTATATGCAGTAATAAGCGCGAAAGCACTACCGCAGCATCAAAAATGAAAAAAAAGCATTGAAGTATTAAAAAAACAATGTAACCTCGTCAGATACGGAAAGATTGATTGTAAAAAGGTAGTGTTGGCACCTACACAGCCCCCATCGCCTGTCATGGACCGGGAGAGTTTGTGCAGTAGTTGCTGCTGGTCCAGACAGGCGAAGGGTAGATTGGCCACGTTTTGCTGGTCGTGCATCCGAACCATGAGGATGAGTTGAGGTGTGATGCCGCCCCGGATCGGTGGTATTTGTGTGGTGCCAGCGAATGGGACGTGACCGAATAATTGCGCATAGTTATCTATAAATATTCAGATTGTGATCTATTTAGGCAGTGCCCCGGCACCTAACCCTTCTCAGTCTAATACTACATGGATGTTAAACTAGCTAAGCAGAGTGAATTATCATATGGCCTGCGTAAACGAATTGCCTCATTTTTAATTCAACGCAAGACTTATGTAATTCATTAACGTACCAAATGGAAACAAAATACTAGTGAATGCTGAATTCTCATTTAAAGGACAACTCAGTCCAAAAGCGCGCTTGCTCTAGTGTTTGACTGGTTGACTGTTCTTAGCCACCTTATGAAAAAATCGCCATGCCTGTCAAGGATAGCCAAAATTTGAATGGAAATTTAGTGTCATGGGGTTAGGATCTACCCAGATATCGAGGCAACTGCTAGAATCCTAGGGTACTACGACCCTTATTTGGCAATTTAGTACAGTAGCTAACACCAACATCAAGAAATTTTGTACCCAAGCGAAACGATAGAAATCGTAGGGAGAAAGCATTAAATGAAACCATCAATTAAATGAACATATCCCTTTAGAGAAAAATAAGTACAAGTCAGTTAAAAGCTGCCTCTGAGGCAGTGATGAGTGACAACGAAAGTGAGAGTTTCAGCGATGGGTCGATAAAGCCGTAAAAACGCATCACACGTTTGCAAAAGGAAACCAATCTAAGGTCAATTTTCTCCAAGTAAATCCAGCGCGTGCGAAAATTCACTTCACATAAGGCCTTATAAAGCTATGGATATGAAATTTATAAAAAAACTTTTTGGTCTGCAAAAATAGTCACTCTGCAGTTTTAAAGAAAGAGAGAACAAGTAACGGACCTCTCGGGTGTGGTAACTTACGGAGAGTTGAGAATGTGTCGTCACACTTTCGACGTATCCGCAGGGAGGAGGTGAAATACCGGCCAGCAAGGAACCAATTCAACATTTGCGCGCTGCTGAATTCACCTTGAATATGGCCTTGGGGATCCTCATAGTACCACAGTTGATCATCGCTTAGGGCGCCACTTCCAGTTCCTCCCGCTTGTTGTCCTGGGTCGAGACCATCGCCATTATAACCGAAGGCACCCTGCACAGTGCGAGATCTAGTTTTAGTTACTGAAGAATCATGTTTTATCTGTTCATTCGATCATGCCAAATCCATGACGCAAACATCGAGTTATGTGTAAGTGATCTTAATGCGGACAAAAGATGGAAGAATTTCACTGCAACGTCATTCTGCGGTGTATCAGTGAAACTGAAACAGTGGATTATGAAGCATGAGTCTAAATTTTACTGACAGTGACCGCACCCCCAAAATAGACCATGCTAAACCGAAAATTCGTTCTTCAAAAGGACTTCCGGTGTGCTGAAACCACTTCAACCTTTTAAAATACACATTTCCTTAAGATGAGATGGACTACTTGCAAATAGGCTTTAAATGTTGCATCAGGAACAGTCGACTGCTTTGGTCATTACAGAAAGCACGATTATAAAACACGATAGCACAAAGTTTGTAAACTTGTTTTTCGAAGATGTCACACCCCTGTGCGCGGTACAAATAAAAAGTTTCGAATTTAGAGCAACAAATACTTGTTGCCTAAGACCCAATTGCAACAAAGGCACCGCTTTCATGTCTTTGCTGTGAAACATTAGACTGGAATAGCTAAGGTACAGAAAAAGAATGAGACCGTTAATTGAGAACCCAACACGAAGCAAACTCGAACGAGTGTGACACGTGTCGATCGCCAACTCAATTTAAATTGAATTAATTATGACAACAGAAGAATCTGCGTGGGCTCACTAATCCAACAATTAGAGTTCTCGTACTGCATAATCACATGGTCATGGGGGTGAAGGTCTAAATGCTAGTAAAAAAATTCCACAGATGAGGGTTCAAAGCGAAACGGCGAAGACCCAAAAGAGGCAAAAATGAATCTAAAGTGCATCAACGCTTCGATAAGGCAGAAATCGCACCGAAATTTTGGAGTAACCGGCTGTTTTACTCCTGAAAGCTCCGAGGGCATCATGCTGAGTGTATTGGTTTGAAGTGGTGGGTCGATGGTAGCTATCGGTTTTTTGGCTAAAAACCACAGAATTCACACCTGAACAAGGTACGGCTTCTTGCGATGTCGACGACGCTGACCAGAAGTTTGGCTGTGTCTGGTGAGCTATAAGACGAGGTTTGTCCGCGGCGGACAGTGCCTACGCATAGACAAAAAGCCGAGTTAAAAGATAAGAATCTTGTGACCACCAATGCGCCAAAGTTCCAAAGGAAGGGGAACATCAGCGGATAACTACTCATTACGGTAGATCCTAAAGTAGGCGTATTTTTACCATGTACTGCCACTACATTTACACAGGACAAAAAGTCTAAAATTGCAATACAATTAGATGACGAAGGACAGAGGGGCAGTCTCGCGAAGCAGAGAACACCAACGATTCTGTCAAGACTAGGAAGACAAAAATTAAGCGGTAATGAAACTAGTGAATGATAAGCAAAAAATTAGTCCGCCAAAAATCCCCGAAATAATGAAAGCCCACTGTTCCAAAGCCATTATCAATCGAATGTAGACGGCGTTGTAAAAAGAACTTTAAAAAGAACAAATGAGGTTACAAAGATGGCGATGGCAAATAAAAAAAGCTTATCAAATGTGTATAAAATCACGAAAGATACCTGTCATGCTTAAATGTTCATGAGTTCATGTCCATAGAGCCGAAGTCTAGCAAAAATTGCAAATATTCAACGGTCCGCCCCTTGAAAAAGGAGCCATCCCTATATCGTGCTCATGCAAGAGGGCGCAAGAGGAATAAAGGCAACGACGAATGTGACCTCCGTCGGGGGCGGAGCTTAACCAACCTGCCCAAGCACGGAGGACTCGGAGGCAGGAATGGGCCGCTGAATGGTAGAAGGATCGGCTACAAAGGACATTCGAGCTACCGCGTCGGGTAGGCACGTGGCCACACCAAAATCAGCAGTATTTACACTCTGACCGGAGGGTAAATTGATGCTCCTACTCTCATCCCTTGCTGTGACATTTGTAGGACTATCGACGGACGAGGTACTGGAAGCAGACGCGGTTCGACCCCTTCGTCTGTGATGCAGGTTGCGATTCTGTTGGACATTGGAGGTTGAAGCTTCAGAGGCGCTCTGACCTGAACGGAGAATCTAGAAAAAAATATGCCAAAAGGAATGAATGCTATCACCTTTTCAGCGAAGTGGAGAACCGCACGTGATATTTTGACGTGTCAAAAAACAACATCCATGGCCAAAGGTCAATCTGTATGTAAAACCTTGAAACATTTTCAAGTGTAGAGGGCAAGATTTTTACAAATCCAAATCCATAATTGTGAATTTACCGGGGGATTCTTATGAGGTGACATCCCACCTCCATCACTCGACGTCCGATTGCGCCAAGAGCGCTCAAATTCCGATCGCTGAAAAAGGGAATCAACTCCTGCTGAATCTTGCAGTGATTTGGCCCATTCCACACCCTTTCTATCACTACTAGGCCCTAGACTTGGGTCCGCCCACGACACAGGACACCAAGATGAGGAGGTAATCTCGACGGGGAACATAGGACCAACAGGATTTTCCATATTATTGCTGTTGATTGGTGCGTTAGGCTGGACATAGAAGTTCGGGACAGGACCCATCTGGTAGCCAAAATCCTCGCCGCGCAGACCCATCATTTGAGTTCTCACCACGTGGCTTCCAGGGTTAATCTGATTCCGTGACTGTAGTTCCGAGGAGCACTTTTTCCAACTGCACAAAACCGACAAACGAGAAACAGTTGAATTATGTACAATTACTAGCCTAGTGCCTAACTAGATGAAAAAGTCAAACGAAGGATGGAGTCTCAAAGCTATTTACTTTGTGCAGTTTGGTACCTGCAAAATAGGCAACGGCAAAGAGTTTCCGGAAGGTGACAAACACAGCCCATTAGAGTGACGCAATTAACTACCTTAGGAGGGAACTATCGGGGTTCTCAGCAAATGATTCATCCGTGTAAGAGATAGAAGTGTTGCGGGCATCTGTTGCCGTGCCTAAAGTTATGATAAAACGCCAAAGACACTACCACATGGTAAGCCACCTGATGGGTCTGGGTGCCCATTAAAATTGTCCACATTATCACCCTGAATATGAAATTATTAGAGAGACATTCCCATTACATCGGATTGAAAGTCAGGTGGCAAAACTCCACTTCGTGAATTAGAAAGAAATGTGTCCGGGAAACCCGATAGAGGTGCACTATTAACACTAGGAATGGGATTATAAAGCTCCAGGTATTCCGAGGCTGAAGGTTTCGGATCTAAGTGAAGGTAATACGAAAAAGTAGACAACTACCCCGTGAGATGGAATCAACCGCAGACAACAACCTGCTCTCAGGGGAGATCACATTTTCCGTAAAAGAGGACATCGCGCAGTAACAAATCGAAAGCAAGTATATATATAACTGGACCTCTGCTGGTAACTATTTGACTAGCAAAACCGCCCTACTGGACCAGAACACAAGCGTTTTACCAGCTGTAAAAAAGTGATTAAAAGGGCCCGCGCCAGTGGCCGTCGACAATGTTGAAAACAAAACACTCATCATATTATAACGAATGTCTTGCCTCCATTGCCACATTTGTTTTTACATACAAAGCTAAAAAACAGAGTATTATAATGGTATTTCAAAATTATGTCACCACGAAGTTTGAAGTAAAGTTGGTTGGCTCCTCATAGGAATCGCCGATAATACAATAATGCGTTTTTTTGCATTTATAGGATAATAAGTTAATTGATTAACAAAAGAAGGAGAGTTTACCAGATGGCCTCTGCAACAGGAATTATGACCAATTTGTTATGCATTTCGCGTTATACTTCCACAGCTCATATACAGCCAAAATACAAAGGAATCAAAGTCACATATATCGGTTTGCTCTTGCACCTGACTGTCAAACATCTTTAAAACCATAAGAAATTAGGTGGCACATTTTAGCTTGGATTTATGTGGAGCGAGACTCCTCGGTCTCCGCTTCCCGATTCCTAGCGTTCCTAGACAAGCCCGGTTGGTTTACTTTGGACATCTTTATTAAAGACGACAAGATGTATAGGGAAAATACAATATTCAAGAAGGAGGGGAGCCGCAGTCACTAGGTAAGGGAGAGGGCGATCCAGTTACCAGGTTCGAATTTCCTGCTTGCCTCCTCTCTGAAAGGCACATTAAAACAACATAAGTATTACATAGCCCCCTCGTCCTTTTAGCGCCGTCCCCGATG